TGCCAGTATGGGCAGGGAGAGCAGACCTACCCCCCCCTTCTGGAGCTGCGTCGCAATCCCCCCCATGCGTACCAGATCGTGCCGCAATCGTGCCGCCGGATCGCGGATCGAGCCGGAATAAGAACCAATAGTCTCAGCCCTGTTCCGAGCTTAAGCAACAGCGAAAGTGCACCGAAATACGTATCCTCCGCCCTTCTATTGGACGGGCCAGTCTGCGAGTCTGCGAGCCCAAACATAATTAGAAAAAAAGCTCTGAGCCTATCTAGCCTATCGCCTATAACATCCTAGGGAGGATGCTTAGGAACGAGGACAGGCATCGACAAAGGCCCAGGGTAGGAGCTTTTCCTGGCCGGCCATGACTCATCGACCAGAGTCTGGTTCTCATAACAGAACATGGTTCCCAGCTCCGAAGATCGAAATAGAATCATTGCATCACCACCCCAGAGTTGCTTTATGGGCTCCATTGCACAGCTGTCATCGCCACAGCATGCAGCGCTGCAGCGCATGCAGGAGTCCGGCGCAGCCACATGCCCACTCTTCAGCATGTGCCAAGCACACGACTGAATGGCAAGATCGGCACGTAACGCAGTGGAAAGTAGGAACACAGTGGCGGGTCGAAGGGGCAGGAACCGAGTTAATCTGCTGCTCGCAAGCTCGGGTGGCTCGGCTGGCCCGAGATGCTCCCTCCAAGCTCTCCTCTGGCCACAACACACACACACATTCCACTCGCCATCGCGTTCTTGTCTCTCCACACTCTTTCCAGCCATCTTAAATGAATCTCGCGACTTCACACTATCTCACGCTGCCCCGCTGCCGCGCTGTCCGTGTGCTGATGCGCGCACACGACATGATACATGAACTACTGCGGGCAGACATGGCGGTGCCCTCTGAAGATGCGAATGCCAGGGAGAACGGCAAGAGGGGCGGTGTAATCGCAGCCAGGCAATCGGGCGTCAGGATCGGGACAGGTGGTGTGTTCTGGGAAATGGAGTGGAGTGTGCCACTCCAGCGCAACTCAGCGCAACTCCAGCGCAGTGGCGGGCTGGTGGGTGGTTCTATTCCTGTGTGGGACGTGAGATTGAGATGGACTTGATCGCCGCATCGCCGCCGGCAACGTCGGCAGAGGCGGCAGAGGCGGCAGAGGCGGCACCGCTTACTTTTGCTGCGTTCGCAGAACGCCGAAAATACCAGAGAATGAACCAGCCTGCGGCGCTGCGGCGGATGATCGACTGGTGTTAATGGTTGCGCCTGGTGCGCCCGAACGGCCGAGCGGCCGAGGGCCGAGCTGACAGCCGACCGAGTCCTGAGCCGCCTGCGCCGCCTGAAGGGCGTTGTTCGGAGTGTCAGTGACGACGAGAGAAGCTGCGAATAGCTCGAGCTGGAGAGCTGGAGAGTTGTTGAGCCGAGCATTTGGCCGTTGTACCCTTCTCTTGTGTGTCCCTCTCTGCAGTGCGTAACCCTCGTGCATCCTGAAGGGAGGATTGGAGTGTTGACTTGTCACCACCGTAGTGCTGGAAATTCTGGTTCCGTCATTACTGAGGTGAGCACCGCTTTGGCTATTATCGGCCCTGAGATCAAGTGTTCCTGGCTGGCTGATTTGTTCCTGGAGAAAGAAGAGCCAATGGGCAGCGAGGCCTCAAGGGCCTACAAGGGGCTGCCGGGTGGTGGGTGTCCAGTGTATTGTATTGACGCTCGCCACCTGGACCCAACCGGGCGGATGCTCACTGCCAGGCCCAAGGTACACCCAAGGTCCCAGGGTCATCTGACGAGAAGCGTAAATGCCCTCCCCTGAGCACTCTCTTGACTGTCAACTGTTGGAGAGTCCTCTGCAAGACGTAAAAGTGACGCAGACATAGGACCACAGGGAATCCACAGGGTATGCAGGGCTGTAGGGCATCCCAGGGCATTCCAGGGCACGCCCGGCGCCTCCTCTCACTCGACCGGCTCCCAGGTCACTGCAGTCACCCTATCCAATGACCCAATGGCCCCAGCCAGATTCACCCAGCCGCACCCAGCCGCACCCAGGCTCTCCCAGCCCTTCACTCACCGTCCACTGGACGGACCACCGCTGCCTCCTTGAATCGAGCCAAACGATATCTAAGCCCCCAACCCATTCCGACGTCCTGCTTCTTCTTTCCCTCACTCCTCTTTACCCCCTCCTCCCTCTATTCTTCTTCTTTGCTCGACCTCCATCGACGTGCTTGCTTGTCGTCTCTGAAGCGAGCAGCCCCCCCCTCACACCCCCCTCCTCCTGCGTAAGTCGACACAAAGCACCGCTTGCCCCTTCGGCCACCCCCTCGCTCCCTCGGCGACAGAGCAGACGTCCCCGCCCCGCTCCGAGTTCCGTGCACGCCCGACCCGCCTACACAACTGCATCACTGCGGACAGAAACTTGTACTGCGGTATCTGCGCCACTTGACGCCGTCGATCTCAGCTCGGACACACGCCCGGCGATCTCGACACGGGCGGTAGACCAGTGACGCACACTGCTTTGCGCACTGTCTGTCACATCGTGCACCCCTCGCCCCGTAACACCAGATCTCCTTCACCTCTCGGACGGGCGACCTCTATATACTCAGCCCCCTCCCATCCCCTCCTTTCTCTCCAGATTCTTGTGCTAACCCTTTATTCAGCCTTCCTCTCCTCTCTCCTCTCTATCCCGCTTGATTCTCCTAGCAGCGACGTCGACGACTTTGGTCCCTTCTCGCTTCTCTCTTATCCGTCACCGCAACGATGTACGCGACCGCTCTCCAGGCCCTCTGGACGGTCGTCCCGCTACTGGCGGCCACCGCCAATGCCGCCACCCCGCTCTCCTTCGAGCCCGCAGGAGATGCAGGAATCAGCGCCCAGATGGTGAGTAGCCAGCACTTCTTGGCATCCCAGCCCCCGGACCCCCGTGGTCCCATTTCGAAAACGCCACGGCCTCACGGCCTGTAACCCACCCCTCACGGCCAAGACACAGCCACTGACCATGACCTACAGATGTTCCTCGGTACCAAGAACAAGGTCTACATCCTTGACAAGTCTGAGAACAACCCCACCACGATCGACGGCAAGTACGGAACGCACCCCGCTTGGGCTGTCGAGTATGACATCAAGACCCAGCAAGGTGAGTTGCATTCTTCTTTCGCCCTGTGCGCCGCATCAAGCGATTCACGTGCTCCTGCTACGACTGGCAAATGACGCCGGTGAATGGAATGTGCAGTGGAGTGATGGGTTTAGGTGGTGCCCTCGGCCTCGTGAGGTCATATCCGAGTTTGTTCCTCGGACCTCGTGGCTGATGCGCCGTTTGCCCATTTCCCACCCTGCAATGGTCCACATGAGATCTGTGCGATCAAGTCGTCAGCCCCTGCACACCACATGATCTCTTCTGTACACGCGTAAAGGAGTCGTAACGCTGACAATGCAGTGCGCACGATGGATGTCTACTCGAACACGTTCTGTGCCGGTGGAGCGGTTCTCGGAAACGGAACCTGGGCGGTTTTCGGCGGTAACCAGCGTGAGTTTATTCTTTTTTGGGTCGGCGATTACATCACCGATATCAACCCACCCACTCCGTCCCCATGCTGCGGATCGATATGGAACTAGTCAACTGACCCATGCACAGCCGTCACCACCAACGGTGTTGCCACCAACGAGCCGGCCCAGTACAAGAACCTTGCGGGCGGTACCGCCATCCGTCTCCTCGACCCCTGCGACGACGAGTCCTGCCAGTATGTGCAGGGAGAGCAGACCTACGACATCTCCAAGGACACTGGCGGCTACCTCCAGATGACCGGCAAGCGATGGTACCCGACCGTCGAGACCCTTCCCGACGGAACGTTGATTGTTATCGGTGGTGACAAGAATGGTGGATATGTCAACACTGCTGCGCAGGACAATCCGACGTACGAGTTCTTCCCTCCCAACGACGAGGGCGCCGTCAACCTCCAGTTCCTTACCGACACCCTTCCCGTCAACCTGTATGCCCTCACCTGGCTGCTCCCCTCGGGCAAGCTCTTCATGCAGGCCGCCCGCAAGACCATCATCTACGACTACAAGACCAAGGAGGTCACCTGGCTCCCGGACATGCCGCACGCCACTCGTGTCTACCCGGCCTCGGCTGCCACTGCGATGCTCCCCCTGACGCCTCGCAACAACTACAACCCGACCCTCCTGTTCTGTGGCGGTTCGTCCACTGACAAGTGGGGAGATGATGGTGGCCCTCACTACAACGTCACCGCTGTCCCCGCCGACAACACCTGTGTCCGCATCACGCCCGAGGGCACCTCCAACCCGCAGTACGAGGACGACGACTACCAGATGGAGGGACGCTCGATGGGCCAGTTTGTCATGCTTCCTGACGGAACCATGTGGCACGGTAACGGTGTCGCCATGGGCACCGCTGGCTACGGATGGGACAAGTACTCGATTGGACAGTCGTTCGGCCAGGACCCCATCTATGTTCCGACTATCTACAACCCCGATGCCCCCGCGGGTTCGCGCTGGAACCGCACTGGCCTCCAGTCCTCGCCGAACGAGCGCATGTACCACTCGACTGCCATCCTGCTCCCGGACTCGTCTGTTCTCATTGCCGGCTCGAACCCGAACGCCGACTTTACCAACGAGCAGTGGCGCTCGCGCACCGACCTCGAGCTCTGGTACCCGTGGTACTTTAACGAGCAGCGTCCTTCGTCTGCCGGCCTCCCCAAGACGTTCAGCTACGGTGGCGAGGGCTTCAACCTCACCCTCACTGATATCTGGGTCACGAGCGAGGAGAAGGTCAAGACTGCCAAGGTTGTCCTGATCCGCGGCGGCTTCAACACGCACGCGATCGGTTTTGGCCAGCGCATGCTCGAGCTCAACTCGACGTACATCATGGACCAGTCGCAGGACAACAAGACGACGCTCTGCGTCTCGCAGCTCCCCGGCGACGTCGGACCGATGGTCTTCCAGCCCGGTCCCGCCCTCGCCTTCGTTGTTGTCGACGGTATTCCCTCGCACGGCGAGATGGTCATGGTCGGCAACGGCCAGCTGGGCGAGCAGCCCACCAAGCCGAACGCACCCCTGCCCGCGTCGACAGTGATTCCCAAGCCTGAGCCTCCCAAGCCGACCGAGGACCAGCAGCAGAACGCGGCCGCGTCCGAGCCCTCGACGACGAGCGACTCCAAGGCGAGCGCGCCCTCGGATGCGCGCAAGAGCGGCGCCCTCCCCCTCGTGTCGGGCATCACGACGGCGCTCTTCGGCCTCCTCCTCGCCCCCCTCCTTCTGTAAGGACCTCCTAGGACACTTGATCTATCTCCATGGACTCTTTTCGACCAAACCAGCATCAGCCCATATCATACCTCGCACGCAACTGTCAACGACATCCCGCCTGACACCGACCACCCGACAGCAACCGACACAATTTTGCATTTTTGAACATTTGACTCCCGACCCCCGACTCCCCCTCCTCCGCGCGTCTCTCACTCAGTGTAAAGGACTCTTAACCACCTACGATACCTTAGATAGCCAACTATATAGTAATATGTTAATATGATGCAGCAACATGGTAAAACGGTATACTGGAACGCTCCCGTTTCATTAACCCTATTTACATTAACGGTACCTGCCAGTACCGCGCGCCGAGCCGCCGAGACATGCCGCGTAGACTCTAGGAATGCCGAGCACAGGGGGGGGATGGGCTTGCTGTGCTCTCCCGCTGCTCCGCCGGAGATCGGGATGGAATGGAAATGATCGGCACGAGTTGCAAGACGTGCGGCGTGAGCGCGTGAGAAGAGCGACGTCGGCTTGCTGGGCCAGCCTGCCATTCAAGCCATCACGAGTGACGTCAGCCACGAGCGCTGGACTCGGGCCCACTCTGCTAGCTCTGCTGGGTCCAGTTGGAAGTGGTGGATGGCATGTCACCTGGCTCAGCTGGGAGGTCGGGGAGATCTGCACCGGAGGCATTGGACAGCGCGGGTGGGGTCAGGTGACACCCGAGAAAGTCATGTACGGTGGCTGGTCGTTCATGGTTCATGTGTGGTGGCTGGTCGGCTTTGAGCTGGCATTGAGCTGGCATTGAGCTGGAATCCAAACGTGAATGTCGGCTGGTCGCGAGATCTGGAACTAGGGCGCGTCACTGGCCTCGTACGCGTCTGGCGTGCGTATGGCTTGCGTAGTGAGTGTCGATCAGGCCAGCCATCTAACCATCCGGAAGTCTGGGGGTCTGGACGTCGAGCCGAGAGATCGAGTGCTCGCCACCCAGTGGCGACGTGATAGCAGATGGGTCTGGGTGTCTGGGTATCGGAGCCTGTCTGTCCCGGCCAAGCTCGCTCAAGCTCGCTCAAGCCCGCTCAACGAGCTCAGCTGCATGCTCAGTTAGTCATCTTCGCTTTGCTCTGTCCACTGAACTGTCTACCGCACTGAGGTCGCTTTCTTTATGTGGGTTGAGCTGACACTGAGAGCTGACTCAACACTCTACTGATGTGCTCTCGACTCTGGACTCATGTGCTATCGACTGCGCGACTGATGTGCTATCGACTGACGGCTTGAGATGGTGCGTGAGGATTTCGTCAAGATATGGGCGTGGCAGTCCTCACGAAGACGCGTGCAGAGGCGCTCACTCTCTGCAGCTGCCTGAGCTGACTTCAGGCTTCTGCATGCTGTGCATGCTGGCTTCTTCCATGGCATCTCATCTCGAGATTGGCATCGGAGACGTACAATTCACACCTGCCATGCACCTTCAGCGGATTCGATTCGAGTACGACTTGGACCCGGGGAAGAATTGGGACGTTGGGACAGTATATCCAGGGAAGATCGCAAGAGAAACTGCCGAAAGGCATACCACCTGCAAAGAGCGGACGATCGCAGCTCGGTTTGAGATGTCGCTCTCGTCAACGCCCGACATCCTCTTGCATTCCACTCGTCGTCCTCTCGTCGTCCTCACGTCGTCCTCTCGTCGTCCTCTCGTCGTCCTCTCGTCGTCCTCTCTCCTCTCTCGTCACCACTCAATCGCAAGCAAATGCGGCGACACCCACCAAGTAAAGGCATGGACGGCACATTCCCGAGCCTGCTTTCGCGGCAGACTCTCTCGCTCTCTTTTCCTCCTTCCCAACAGAGCGGAAGTCAACACTCTCCCGGACGCGAGTGGAGGGCTGCACCAAGGTTGTCACTCGGGTAACGCTGTTGGGAGACGGGGCTTTCTCCCACTATTCTGGCATAGCAGCTGCCCCGACGTATGACAGGCCTGTCCTCTCACCTGCTCCAGACTTGCGATAGCGACAGCCTCCCGTGGGTTGGAGACGCTGAGGGGCAATCCGTCGCCTGCCCAGCTGAGCTCAAGTCCGAATCGGACTGTCACGCAATTCGGACCAGATGGGCTAAGTCCCGTGGCTGGTACTGACACGAGGTACTCTGCGGTATGCGCGGTGTGCGAACCTGAAGGCGGTCCGAGAGCTCGGGTTGCCAGAGTAATTAAGGCTCGGAACCGCCTCGGCGTCACCGCGTCACTGCCAACGCCGCTAGTCAGTGGAACCACCGCACCGCTGGGAGAAAGAACGCAGCACGCCACAACGGCGTTCTGTCTGCGTCAGCATCAGCGCCCACAGTCAGTGTGTTAGTCCTAGCACCGAACAATGTTGATAATAAACGAAGCGGCCAAGCATGACGGTCGAGGTATGTCTGTGTGTGCCTGCGGAACCGAACTTGCGGAAGCTCGTCTCCGCACCAATCTCCGGACTTGAGCTGTCGGGTGCGCTTCAGCTTCAGCGTCATTTGTGACGGTGCAGCCGGGCGGATCAACCTTGTACGCAGAAGATGGCATTGGGTAGTCGTCAGCTTCACCAGCTCCCTTAGCCCCGGCATGCCCGGCACGCCCGGCACGCCTGGCACGAGGGTGGGGCAGGTAGGCATTTTGCGGGGCGAGAAGGAAGGGGCGAAACGAGGAGCCAAGGGAGGTGCACCATGTTGTCCTGGCGATCAGTGCTCGTCTCGCCCCAGTCGCCCCGGGATACAGGGGAGCAAGGCGTCGCCCCGGTTACGGTGCAGGGAGTGCGAGGAGCACGAGGGGAAGCACGAGGGGACCCAAAGTCGAAACTTGTTCTGGTCCTTGGGTAGAGACAGAAGAACAGCCGGTCGTCCAACCGTCCAACTGGCTACTCACACGACATGGTGGAGGCCCCTCAGGAATGCGTCGTGGCATCTGCCCCTCCCTGCTGTTCAGCTGCACAAACGAGCGCACGGGCATACCAGCCTTGAGAGTACAGCCAGCCTCAGAAGCATGATGCTTTACGTAACTGTGCAGAACTCCAGGCTCACTCTGCTGTGACTGACACGAGGGTGACTTCCGGTCGTCTGCCGTTCGGAAGTCCGATGCGCAGTGGGGAATACCAACGCAGTAGTGGGGTCAGAGAGGAAGGTTCCAGCCGGATCCAGCGGCGTGAGGGGCGTTCCTTTCCCTTCCCCGCGGCTCTGGGCCAGCTTTGGATCTGCTCTGGGCCAGGGATGGGAGTGCGTGCAGTGGCTTTGTTGGGCAGCTGAGGTGCTTACCACTGCCTAATTTCCAAGACTGTGAGACCTATGCATGTTTTGTGTGCGGCAATTGAAGTCCGCCCCCGTCCTTCCGTCCCTCGGTCCCTTACCATTTAGGAATCTGGTCGCATTGGTCTGAGAAAACGAACAGGCGGCGCAGCAGATGGAGGGCCCAGTGTCTTCGCAGAGCACGCCAAAGGTTCAGGCCGGAGCAGAGTTCAGCGAGTCAGCGTCGGGGAAGACACGACCCAGAGTGGGGACAAACCCCGGGTCGCCCGGATGATGCGGGGAACAAGGGCCTGGTTCGCCTGGGTGTATCTGGGGAAGGGCGGCGTGATAGGCCACTCCCCTACCACATCACGAGCTCAAAATTCGCTCGACCCGCCCACACCCACCAGTCCAAACTGAGGGTCGCGTGGCTTTAACCCCGCTAGGGCATACATGCGGGGTCCGATTAAGGACCATCCCCCCCCCCTGCTGCAAGCTCCTTGCCTCTCGTGCTCTGCTCCGCCTGCCGCCTGCGCCTGGCCCAGGACCACCGATGCATTCTTCCTTCGCGAACGTCGCCCGCTCGCATTTGCTCTCTTCCTCGTGCTTGTCATCTCTTCTCCATCAACAGTCACTGTCCTCCGCGACCTCCTCTGCGCCGACATCCCAAAAGAGACGCACTCGCCTGTGTTCTTCTCCCAAAAGGCATATTCCGCCCCTTTGCCATCAAGTCTTCCGCGCGAGGCTCCCCTCCTCCCCACACGTCTTCGTCGAGTCCGGTCATCGCCCGTCACTTCGCCCCGGTTGACGCACCACCCACCACACTCCCCCCTCTCTCACCCTCCACATCCCGCTCAACCAGATCGAAAAAAGGAATGGCCTCGGCGCCATTGACTACCCCGACTCACCATGTCGATGACATCCCCTCAATATCGGCTACCTTAGCCGCCGGCGCCAATGCCTCCAACACTGCAACCCCTACATCAGAGGTGAACCGCTCGCCCTCGCCCCCGACGATGAATCCCGCCCAGCTCGGTGACGTCCCAACGCCCGAAGTGTCCAAGATTGAGGCCAGCGATTTCACCGGCGTCACGTTCAAGCCTGAGTAAGTTGTCATGTCGTGGTGCACTTCATCGGTCTCGTGTAGGCTGGACATGTCATGTTCCTGACATTCCGCTGGGATCGTCTGGGACCAACAGTTTAGTCTTGTTGTCAATGCTGCTGGCGCTTCCCCCCAGTGAAAAGCAGGCTAAGCTGCTGGCCAAATGACAGCCGGCGACGAAGCCGGTTGCAGCTCGCTCGGGTCCTCGTGATCCGGTGACCTGTCATTCCGCTTACACCTTCTCCATTACTCGCTTCAGAATGAGGAGTCCTGTGCTGACGCTATTCTTCTTCTTCTTCGACTCCCTCGCCTAACTTTGAACGCTCAAATGTCTACATCGAACCCGATCTCGGTGTTTTACCTGTTCGGTGCCAATGTGCGGACGGTTGCTCTGATTTGTCCGTCGACGTCCTCCCCCACCGCCGCCGCCCACCTGCTCGCTTCATGCCGCCGACTGCGCCTCGATTGGGAATACACTACTCGGGCTGCGTGCTGCGCGTGACTGACTGACGGACTCCCGATCAATGATCATTCGCCGACGCCACTTGCATGCACTCCGCTCACCGCACACACGCACACTCTGTGTGATGCCGACATTCCCTTGTGCCTACACATACACAAACCGCCCATTCAAATCCCAGGCTATGGATGCAACGTCGGCATTGGGCTCTGGAGATTCTCCGCGAGGCTGGGGTCCGGTCAGTCCTCGATGTCGGCTGCGGAGTCGGATCCTTGCTGGAGCCCCTCAGCCAGCCGCCCTCGACGATCCGTGAGCCTCCTATCCTCTGCACCGACCCTGGCCACGAGGGTGAGGCTCCTGAAGGGCGCGAGCTGTTCATCTCTGTGAGTAGACTGTGAGAAGATATGTCGCTGACCGTGCAGCACCTCGGAGCCGTGGACATCAACCCCGGCGTCATGGCCGGCGCGCTCAAGTCGATGGAGCCACCTGCCAAGGGCGACCAGATGACTGCGCCCCGCTGGGAGCCGATGACTGCGGAGCTGTGGTTGGGCAACATTGAGCGTTACAACTCGCGCTTCGAGCCGTACGAGGCTCTTGTCATGCTCGAGGTCATTGAGCATCTCGAGCCGCAGCTGCTCAGCCGCTTCGGTGTCGTCACGCTGGGCACGTACCGCCCCAAACTGCTCTTAGTGTCTACGCCGAATTTCGACTTCAACTCCAAGTTCCCGCACCAGCACGACGACGACACGTGCCCCAAGGGTTTCGCGGATCCGACTGGACGTACGGACCGTGTGTTCCGTCACAGTGACCACAAGTGCGAGATGACGTCGCAAGAGTTCCGGGAGTGGGCGATCGCGGCGGCCAGCGACTGGGGCTACGACGTGCAGATCGGCGGTGTCGGTACCTCCAACAAGCCGAGCTACTACCCCGACGGCTCGCCCGTGTACGCCACGCAGACGGCGGTCTTCCGTCTCGCTAGCGGCATCCCTATGCGCTCCCCGCGCAGCGTGCGCACGGTCGACTTACCCTTCATGCGCGGCGTCAGCGAGGCGCACCACCCGCACCGTCTTGCCGGCAAGTTCCAGTTCCCGGCGACGGCGGTCAAGGCGCCAGGTGCCCCGCTGTCGCCCGAGGAGGTGAACAAGACGGTGCAGGAGGCGTTCAAGTACGTTTCGGTGTCGCGCATCAGCCTGACGGAGCTGTGGGCGCTGCCAAACGTCGCGGCCGTTTGCGGAGGAAGCAAGCGGCACCTCGTGTCGTGCCTCGGCGGGTGGGGCGACTGCAAGCCGCTCGGCAGCTCGCGGTACCAGGTTACTAGGGCTAGCTTTGGTCTCGAGGTCGGGTTGAGGGTGTAACATTGCTCTTTATTCTAGTTCAACACAGACAGCCATCGCAAACATCATGTACGAGTATATAGTTTCTTTCTTTACATAGGCCCTGATACCATGAGAGTGTGGATACGCCACTGTGGCCGGACGCATAGAGCGTGGGCGTTGTGGGCATCGAGATGTGCATCAGAGGGACCGACTCGAGGTGTCCTGTCCACTCGGCGCTTAGCTGCAGAGTCCGAGATAGCGGTCGGATATCGCCGGGGCCTTAGTCGTCATCGGGACCTGCCTCGTATCGTGTCAGTGCATCAGTGAGGTGGGTTATTGCCCTCCACTCCTTCCCCAAATCTCCTATCTCTCCCCCCTTCCTCATCCTCTCATCCAAGTCTAACAGGATGTCCGCCAAGAGCACGTTCACGCCGTTCGAGCTCCTCCGCCTGCCGTCCAAGTCGGCGCTGGTGGAGGAATTCCAAGGCCGCAAGCTGGACGAGCTCCGCACGCCCGCCCTGATTCTGAACCGGACAGCCTTTGCCGAGAACTGCAGCCACGTCGCGAAAGCTGTGGAAGCGCTCGGGCTCGAGTTCAGGATGCACGTGAAGAGTGAGTGACGTCTGCTGTGTGTATCCACGCTACTGCTCCCATCTCGTGGGGGTTACTTATGCCGGTGGGCACGCATGTGGGCAGTTGACACAGCAGAGTGGGCAGTGGGCAGCAGGCTAACAGTTAGCGCACAAGACACCAGACGGCACGCGCATCCAGGCCGAATCAGTCTCGTCCCCCGCAGGCGCAGGCCTCATAGTCTCCACGCTCCCGGAGGCGTGGGGCATCGCCGAGTCTGGCCTCGTAGAGGCCGGTCGCGTGAAGGATATTCTCTACTCGATGCCAGTGGCCGCGGACAAGATGGAAGACCTCACAGCGCTGGAGGAGAAGATGCGTCTCCCCGTGCTTGTGATGGTGGACCATCCGACGCAGATCCAGGCCCTCACCAAAGCACACAAGGCGCTGGGCCGGAAGCCGTGGAAGTGCTTCGTCAAGATCAACGGCGGGGGCAACCGCGCCGGCGTGCGGCCGGAGAGCGACGAGCTCGGTGCCGTGCTGGACGCCATCCAGGGTGCCGAGAGCGAGGGGAGCGTGGAGATGGCCGGGTTCTACTCGCACTTTGGCCAGTCCTACGCTTCAGACGGACAGGAGGACGCGCAGACCTTTTTCGAGGGCGAAGTCGAGTGTGTCTCCAAGGCAGCCGCGTTCGCGCGCTCCAAGGGGCTCAAGGGACCGTGGGTCCTCTCTGTCGGCGCGACGCCCACGATCCATGCCGCGTCCTCCCTCGACTCCACGCCGAATGTCCAGGCCGAGGGGGATCGGCTCGAGTACCACGCCGGGTGCTACTGCATCAACGACCTGCAGCAATTGTCCACAGGCGTGGTGCCGGGCCGTACCGCCATTCGCGTCCTCTCCTCCGTCGTCAGCTCCTACCCCGAAAGAAAGGAGGCATTGTGCGATGCCGGCGCCCTGTCGCTGAGTAAGGATCGGGGGAGGGAGCCCGGGTTCGGCCAAGTGTCGAATAAGAGGGGATGGCGCGTCGGGCGCGTGAGTCAGGAGCACGGCATTCTGACGCATGACGAGGGGAGCGAGAGGGATGAGATTAGCATTGGCGACAGAGTGCAGATCATCCCCCAGCATGCTTGCTTGACTTGTGCCTGCCAGCCTTGGATCTATGTCATCGACGACAAGGATCCGGAGACGGTCGCCGACGTGTGGGTGCCGTGGAAAGGGTGGTAGAATTGCAGGATTGTGGACTAGGTGATGACATATTATAAGACGTATTATGGTGGTGGTGGTTGCAGTATGGACACGGCCTAGGGGCCGAATAGATGCTCTATGATGGTGCTTCTAGATCTTCCCTTCTCCCCCTCCTCCGCTCCTCGCTCCGCTCTCTTCGGATCCCCTCCTGTCTCCCCACTCCCCCTGATCGCTTCTCACCACAACCCAATCAAGCTGCCCACGCTCCAGAACAGCGTGACAATGCCAACGGGCAGAATGCCCACGTACACGATCAGATCCTGCCACAGTCGTCGGCCCTGGCGGCGCTTCTGCAGCTGTCTCTCTTTGCGAGCGAGGAGCACGTCGGCGGCCGGATTCGTGAGGCTTGGCGTGCGCTGGTGTCCGCCCGCGAGCGCGGAGGGGTCCGGCGGCGGCGGCGCGTGGCTCGGGAAGATGATCGCCAGCGGGGATCGGACGTGGAACGTGATGATGAAGAAGAGGGCTGGTTGTCAGCTTTGGCGACTGGTAGCGCTGTAGCTGAAGGCTTCGGGGACACTTACAGGGGAGGAACCAGCCGATCGCCAGTGTGGCGATGACGCCGAGCAGCTCAATCTTGTCCGCGACGACGCCGCCGAGCGCAGCAAAAGCGACAACGACGACCCAAATACCCGCACCGACAAACTTGCCGGCCCGGTAGCGGTCGCCGCCGTCCACGTCCAGCGCAACGAGGACTGAATCGCGACCGCGCACGAGCCAGCTGGAGATACTGGCCAAGACCAGCAGGCACATGAGGACGCGGGCAAAATTCGTCCATCCGTCGTCACGGGGCAGCTGGTCGAAAGCTGTAGGCGCAGGCGGGAGGAGGTAGTACGGGACCAGGGCGAAGGGGAGGGCAAGAACGAGGATGAGCACGCCGGCAGCGAGGATGGGTACCGCAAACTGCTGGCGCTTCACGCGCTTCAGGCTGCCGTGGATCTGCAAAGTCTGCAGGTGTGGCGTGAAGAACATTGTCAGCGTTGTAAGACCCGAACCAGCAGTCTTGGGCGAGAGGCCACGCAGGCCACGCCGGATGTGCGCGGTGACGCCTTCCGGAGCCGACTCAGCCGCATGCTGCAGCGTCGCCGCTGCTGCCGCTGCCGCCGTCACGATCGTCTCGCCAGCCTCGTCGGCTGCCTTCTTGACCTCGACAGTGCGTCCGATCACGATGAACGTGACGAGCGGCAGGAGTAGCGCAAAGGCGACAGGCAGAGCGCGCAAGTGTCGGATCGAGCGAGACGGGATGAGCGCGGGGAGGATCTGCCAGTCAGCCATTCGGTTCTTTCGCCACATTGCAACATCGCTGTCCGAAGTCTTCTCTGAAACATCACCCGGCCAAGCCTAGCCAGCCATCGGGAACTCCACTCACGAAGATGCCACCCGTGATCGTCCAGAAGATGCGGCTTCGCAGCAGGCCGTTCGGGAGGTACTCTTGCACGACAGGGTCTAGGAGACTCGCCACCGTTCCGAGCCAACCGATGGAGGAGCCAAGCGTTGCGACGACAACAAAGCCGCGTCCTACAGCCTGTCCGAAGCGTCCGAAGCGCTCCCCCGCGCAGGCAGCGAACACCTGCTCGAAGCTCCCAACCTTGAGGTACCATGCGAGGTAGACGATGACGATGTGTGCACACGCCGAGAGCGCCGCGAGGATGCAGAACGCAGGGATGAACAGCGCAACGCCAGCCGGCAGGAAACTCTGCGGCACCGCCGAGAGCGCTGGGAAGAGCGCAAGCGGGTGTGCCAGGATCAACGGTGCCACCAGCTGACCGTCAGCTCGAGTCTTGTAGATTAGCTCACCTCGAACAAGCTTCGGTATCCTGTCTCGTCCTGTGTCCGCCGCCGCCTTCGGCGCACTAGCGGCTCGTCAGAGTCGGCGTCAATGTCCTCGGACATCTCGTCCTCGTGCTCCATCTCGGAGAAGTTGATGCTGAAGCTATCGCTTGTGCTGCTCGTCGGGATCTCGTCCTCCTCATAGTCTAGCGAGTCGCGTCCGTCTCGAGAGCCGAACTCGATCTCGCCATCGTCCTCGTCCTCGGAGCTGAGACCATCCTCGGCGTCACTGTCCTTCTTCCCTGCATGCTTCTTGAACACCATCGTGCCTGTCGAGGTTACACTGGTGGTGCGAGATGCTCGAGACTGGGGGCGAGACAGATTCGTGAGACTCGGCCGCGGGGAGGACGTTCCCTCGCCGACGCGGAGGAGGTTGTCGGTGTCGGAGATGTTGGAGGTGGCGCTGTGGTACGACTTGGCGCTGACGAAGGACATGCCGCTCGCGTTGGAGAAGTTGCGAGCCCGTGAGGGGCCGGCATGTCCGACGCTGAGGTCTGGCCGGGACATTGGTGAGTGTTTGTTTTGGTTTTCCCACGAAATTGATTGTTGTTGTTGTTGTGATGATAGCGGTCGTGTATAGTGCCCACAGAGTCGAATTGAGAAAAGTTCAGAAGATGGAAGCGAAGGAAAGGAGGAAGGGTGAGGAGGGCCGAGCGCGATTGTGGTAGTTGGTGGGGCTTCGGGAACTTGGAATGAATAGTTCGGGTTCAGCAGTGTCCTAATGGTGCTGCACTAAGAGTAGAGCTTAAACGCTCGTCAAGGAACCCCCAACTGGACCAACAGGCACGAGCCAGAGAGCAGATCCGACATGGCACGTGCCTGTGCGGCCCTTCCCCCTTGCACTTTCCTTACATTTCCGCCCTGCATACAACCCTGCGTGTAGCACGTCGCAAAGTGCGTCCGGCGCGGTCTTCATGTCAGCAGAAACGCGCGATCCGGAACCGTGTATTGTTGCGCGTAGCGTCTGTCGCGTGTCGCAATGCCAAGTAATGACCACGGCACGGCAGACTGAATTTCTATTGTTCCAGTGACAAACAATAAATCGTCGTCATCCCTCCACCGGCGACGGCCATCGCGACCAACCGTCTTATACAGGTCGTCCCCCCACTCACACCTCGACATTGTCCTCTCTCCCATTCTCTCCTCTCACTCTCTCGTTTCAGAATCCAATCACCTTGATCGACGACCCACTCTCTCTTCTTCCGACACCACCGGCACCAGTACAGCAAGCCCCGACCTCAAACGCGAAACAGCCCGCCGAACACCTGACTCCGAGCCGGCTCACTAAGGGCAAGCAAAGGAACAGTGTCGGACAATGTCGCAGTCCACCTTCAAGCGCAAGGCGCACAAGGGCTTCTTTACGCGGTGTCTGCAGGCTCTGCCGTCCTCGGCCGAGGCGCATGATGCGAACCGGTGAGTCCCTATATCGCGGCAGCTGATGATCACGGCCAAAGCTGACGGCAGGATAACGATTGCCTTCTTCTGCCTCGGCGGCCTGTACCTCCTCGGCGAGCTCTCTCCCAGCGACAAAGACAGGCAAGATTGGACCGAGTGGATCTGGTCCCTCCAGTCGCCCGAGGGCGGGTTTGCGGGCTCGCCGCACGCGCCGAAAGTACAGGGCCACCTGCCCTCGACGTACACGGCCTTGTGCTGCCTCGCCCTGTTGGGCTCGCCAATGGACCGCCTGGACAAGCCTGCCCTCCGACGGTTCCTCAAGTCCTGCCAGGCCGAGGACGGCTCCTTCGCCCCGACACCGGATACGGAGGGCATGTTCCAGAACGACGCGCGCATGTCCTACTGCGCTGTGGTGTGCGGTACCGTCGCTGACTCGGGCACGGAGGGTGAGGGACGGACGGGTGGCTTTAACAAGCAGAAGGCGGGCGAGTATCTGCGCCGATGCCAGACGTGGGAGGGCGGGTTTGCGTCCCGTCCCGGCGTCGTCGAAGCGCAAGGAGGGATGACGTACTGCGCCTTGTCGTCGCTGGCGCTGCTGGGAGAGTTGAAGGGCAACACGGAACTGGAGGAGGAGGCAACGCGGTGGCTGTCCCAGCGCCAGATCGGGGGTTTCCAAGGCCGACCGGGAAAGCTCGAGGACGTGTGCTACTCGTTCTGGTGTGGAGGCGCGCTTGCTGTGAGTGATCGCATCCTATCTTCCAGAGCTAGATAGAGGACTGAAAAAGCTGACAGACAGGCCCTCGGTCACTCAGACCTCGTCAATGAGGAGCCCAACACGGCCTTCCTGCTCAACTCGCAGTCCCCCCTCGGCGGATTCGGCAAGGCGCCCGAAGACTATCCGGATCCATTCCACTCCTACCTCGCCCTCACTGCGCTGGCAATGACGCCGGCACGTGAGCAGCTGGGTCTAGCCGAGATCGACCCTGTGTGGAACCTCGCGCCGGAAATGCGGGACAGGCTGCTGAAGCCGGTGCCGTGAGCGAAGAGAGACAGGGCTTTAGGTATTGTATTTGGGTCTAGAAGTTTTCTCCATGTCACTCAGCGTTATCAGTGTTCTGGGGGTGGGGGCAGCAGCAGGTATTGCATTCCGTCTACTGATGTTCTTTGCACTACTTGTCCAGCTCGCGACGTGCTTCCCTCACAGGGCTGCGGCTAGATCTCCGCGAGCCTCACGAGATACCGCTCAAACACCTTCTTCCCGTTCGTGAGGTTGAGCAGTCTCATTCGCTCATTCGCGAGATGTCCCGCATCACTCGCCTGTCCAAGTGGCAAGTGCACACAGGGCACGCCAAACTCCTTCTCGAGCCAGCTCATCGTGGGCACCGTGCCACCCTCACGAATCTTCAGCGGGCGGCGCTTCCACACGTCTTCGACCGCATTCTCGAGCGCCTTGAAGTAGGGGTTCTCGAGGGCTGCCAGCCACCACGACGCTGCATGCGTGATCTTCACGTCGAGGTGGTTCGGACTCTGCAGGCGCTCGAATTCGTCGCGGCAGTAGGTCGTCAGCGCGTCCACGACGGCACTCATGTCCTGGTCCGGCACGAGACGCAGCGAGATGTCCGCCGTCACGCGGCGGGGAATGACGGTCTTGTTCTGCGTGCTCCCCGAGGTGCGGATGTTGGCTATGCTGAAGGACGGCTCGCGCCACACCCTCTCCAGGTCCCTCAGGCGCCGGCCAGAGGCAGTCGCGACCGACTCGAGCAGCGCGCGCTCCTCGGCGCTCTCGGGGCGGACACTGTTGTAGAACCCGGGTACCTTCAAGCCGCCCGTGTCGCTCAGCTTGGAGAGGAGGTTGACCATGTCGAACATGGGCTCGTGGACTGCGCCTCCCTCGACGCCGGAGTGGACGTCATCCCGCTGCGACTCGATCGACAGGTTCGCGTACACAACCCCGCGCATGCCGTACACGACGCAGGGGTCTTCCTCGTCAATCCACGTCGAGTTCGAGAGCAGGATCACGTCCACGTCCCCGATCATCTGCCGATGCCTGCGCACCGCGGACGCGAAGCCGCGCGAACCCGCCTCTTCCTCGCCCTCGATCAGCATGACGAGGTCGACGTCGAGCTCTCGCCGCTGCCGGAGCGCCGCCGCGGCACACGCAATCGCCATGATCGGGCCCTTGTTGTCCGTCACGCCTCGGCCGTAGAGATACCCGTCTTTGCCCGTCAGATGCCAGGGATCGCTCGACCACCCCTTCTCGCCAACAGGCTGCACGTCGTAGTGTCCGTAGAACAGCACGCGGCGGCGCGGCTTGTCGCATGTCGGCTTGTGACCGCTGAACGTCGCAAGCACTAGCGGATTCTTGCCCTGGTCGCCGCTCAGAAGGCAGGACTTGGCACCGAGCTGCCCCAGAATCTTGTTCAGCAAATGCGCGCCCTGTCTGCACGGCTCGCGGTGCTGCTCGTCTGATACGGTCGGGATCGCCACCAGCTTGGACAGGGCATACAGCATCGTGTCCCCGTCGTCGTCCGACAGCTCCGTCAGCTCTGGCAGCTGCAGGTCGCGGTGTTCCTCCGGGCTCCTCGCTAACCGTGAAGGATGCGCACGCACCCGCCAGATCTTAACGTAGCTGTCGTTTCCAGCTGTTACGAGGTCGTACGCTCCGTCCCGGTCGGCGGGCACAATCGCCATCGCGAGCGCGGTGCTATCGTGTGCCTTCAGAGCTGCTGTGCAGTTGAATGCGTCGTCGATGCGGAATATCCGCCCGTCGCCAGCTCCGCTGTACACGTCTCCCCTCAGCACCGCGAGGCTGAGCACGTCGCTCGAGTGCGCTTCGATGGTTCGGATCCGCGACCCCGTCTCCAGGTCCCACACATCGATCTCGCCGCCCTGTAGTCCGCCGTAGAGCAGCGAGTCGCGGTATGCCAGCGAGAAGACCGCGCCGGACAGCCCAACGAACTCCCGCACAAGCTTCAGCCCGCCGCCGGGCAGGCATTCCCAGACCTTGACGTCGCTGTCGCCACTGCCCGACGCGAGCCACCGCGTGCCGTCCGCCCGCGCGATCATCTGCAACGCGTAGACGTATCCGTAGTGGGCGTAGAAGAGCGTCGAGTCCGCGTCGACCTCAAATTCGACTACATCGCCGCCGCGCTTGAAGTAGTCACCTCCCGTGGTGGCAGCGGCGGCTGGCGTGTTAGCGCCCTTGCCACAGCTGATTGATCGACTCGGCGTGCACCTTCCTGCCGGCGTGCAGGACCCGGGCGATCCAGGTGTCGACGGCGTGTCGAAGAACGGACTCGGCTTGTACCGTCCACTTCGCTGGCTAGGTGTCGGCGCCGACGGTGGTGGGTGTCCGTGGTGCTCGTGTCCTTGTCCGTTGAGCAGGTTCGAGATGTTGCCCTTGACGGCCGTCGGCGCAACAACAGGTCGCGTGCCCCGGATGTCCTTGCCGAAGTTGACCCACTCGATCGATGTGTTCTGCGCACCGAAGTAGAGCGTGCCGCCTTCTCGATCGTCCCAGGCCAGGCTGAAGATGTCGCCGGACGTGTCGTCGCAGGGGTGGATGATGTACAGCGGCTCGAATGTCCGTGTAGACCAGATCTGGTCGTCAGCTACTAGTCTCGTACGCGGTGAGCGGACTCACTCGAACGTCTCCGGCACTGCTGCCTGAGATGAGCCACTCCTTCTCCGGAACAACGAGCAGACACAGCACACTGCCCTCATGTCCTAAGAGCCTGTATTCTGGCTGGAAGTCACGCCGACAGAAAACAGTGATCTCGTTGTCGCGGCCTTGGCATCCCGCATAGATGTGGTCCTTGTCGGCGCTGAGGGCGAGAACCCTACTCGAGCCAACAGAGAGGAGGTGCGAGTGGGTCGGCGAGTCCGTCAGGACCTGGCGGGTGAGCGAGTCGGCTATTTTGATGAAGATGGTTGCGGGATCGGGGTACGGGAGCGTTGCAGAAAGTCGAGAGTCGTAGATATACACATTGTGAGCGTGACAGGTCGATGGTCGGTGTCGTTATCGCAAGATCGACCGGGAATGACGACAAGAGCATGCGCACAAAAGAAGCAATGCGTGAGCACCGGGTCCGGTAAGAATGATCTACGCCGTCTAGCCCGATCGAGCACAGGGCCGACAGACGATCTCAACACGCGGTACTCACTCTTCATTGTCTCGAGAGAGATATTGCGGTTGGCGACGGGGCTCGAGCTCCCTGCGGCAGGCGACTTGGATCCAGACGCCATGGTCGGAGCCGCTAGTAGATCGGTCGTGGACTGGGTCGTTTGGTCGAATTCGGGCAAGTGTGACGAACGCGATGGTTTCAAAAGATACCGGCTGTTACGGCACCTGAGGGCGGTGTCTTGTGGTCGCCTGACTGACTCGCGACGCTTCTCAGTTTACGAGCGATTCAGCACTCTGTTGAAAGACGTTGTGGGTTGTTGTCACTGGTGCGCAAGTGCTAAATGCGGAGTCGAGTGTCTGCCAGCATCGATACGAAACGTCGATCTTGACAGGGAGGACTTTCTAATGGCAATCCCGATTGCATCACGCCATGGAACTTGGACCGTCAATAAGCGCTGGGCCTGGCATTGGCCACCCAACCAATCTCCTCTCCCGCAATACAAGCTGAATGCATACACAACACCCCTATCTTACTTCTACATCTTCATCTCGTACATGCCCTCGGGCGGGCGCGTCGGTGTCTTCTCTGCATGTCAGCTCGGATAGCAGCGTTCCACTAGCTCACCCTTGCCGATCTGGCTCCAGTCGGTGGACAGGGTTGTGCCTCCACTTTCCGTAAAGCTCTTAATCATGGCGCGCTTCGTGTCCTCGTCCGCATTCGCGTAGATGCCCGAGAAGAGTTTCTGCAGCGCGGCGTCGCCGCCCGCATTCGGGTCGTTCGCGGCGTCGTCCTCCTCGAGCTCGGCATCGACAACGGCGTCCCAGTTCTTGCGAGCCGGCTTCGACGCTGAAGGAGCGGATGGAGTTGCGCCCTTGTAACCCGAGGAGCTCGAAGCAGGAGTCGGGGAAGACGAAGCTGGAAGGCTTGAAAGTTTTACAGACTGGCCAGAGCCGGAAGACAGCAGCGTGGGCCACTGAACACCGGGCTCATCCTTCTTGAGCGTGAGCTCGATCTGATGTCAGCTGAAGCGGAAGCCATGCCAGCTTACCTTCGTTCCCAGCACGCGTTCGCTGCAGTCTCCAGGCGCAATCGCACCAGCAAGCGGTCCGAGAGTGAATGACTTCGCTGCCGCGTTGTCGAGAGCCGGGAGCGACACATCGACGCTGTGCGTGTGGTAGACGACCTTGACGTTCTCGCGGGCAGGTGAGGCGCCATAGCCCTTCACGTAAATCGAGACAGTGACGTCTGTCGGAGACTGGTAAAAGTCGTGTCTAGGTTCAGCTTGGTACACGCCGAGAGAGCTAACCTTGGGACCTCGCTCATCGTTGTTTTTAGCGACAAAACAACTGATGATCGCGAGGAAGGTCATCGAAATCGTCATCCTGCCGGACCACCTCCACCGCGGAATCAAATTTCGATCAGCGCGTCCTCCTTACCTACAACTCAGATGAGCCCGCCGACAACCCACCCACCCGTCCGTGTCCAGCTACCTTCAAAAACTCGTTCTCGTCGATGCATGAGCCAAAAGCTGACTGGAGTGGGATTCGAACCCACGCCCGAAGACTGCGAAGCTCCAAGAGGAACCTGAACACAGCGCCTTAGACCGCTCGGCCATCCAGCCAATGCTGAGCACGTGATGTGCCACGAGGGCCTGCGCCCCCGCGCCCCTACGGCCACCTCGCTCGTCTCCATATCCGTTGCAAAAGCGAGCACCGTTGTGGAGGGTATTGAAGCAGATGTAGTGCTGCGCGTGACAGTTGCGGTTAGGCATGAAGTTGAGAACAAAGACGCTCCTGGGCTTCAGTGCCGTCAGGAAAAGCTTGGACGCTGGAAGCAAATGGCTTCGCTAACTTTAATGATTGCAGCTCAACCTCTTCACACAAAGCAGCGGTCCCGACAACATCTATGGGCCTGGATTGCTTCTGGTCACCGTCGACATGTGACCGGTGAGCAGGGTGTGCGGCCTCGCTACGTTGTGTAGCCATCGGTGAGGAAGATGGCGTGATGAGGGTCACATCCCTCGAGGCACCCGACGCCGATCACACTAGAGCGAGCGGCCCCGCACTAGATAGCGATGAGCTGGTATCTGATAAGGACTCCTAACCCAGACAGTTGTTGCGTGACTAACTTCCTCCTCAAGATGGCTCTTCATGACTGTCAACAAACGGTCAACACAAAGGAAGCGGCAGGCACAAGGCCGTCGGCTTTGACCGAGTTAGGACCCTGGATGCTTGATAAGACGGGAAATGCTTCAGCGTCATGAGGCAGACATTCCTGGATCCACATCCTGTGTTTGAACATTTCTCATCAGCCTCAGCATCCCACTCCCAGAACGACGCCATGGATACCGTCCCGCTTACCGACTCGTCCGGCTTCGAGGGGCGCTCCGCCTCGCTCCCGAAGGCGAAGGACATGAGCCACCACATCAACCAGATCACCAAGAATCGGAGTCCGATGGCACTGAAAGAGCTGTACCGATACGCGAGCCAGCCTGGCATGCAGGCATTTGCGGGCGGTATTCCCTCACCAGAGCTGTTTCCCTTCGAGACGCTCTCCGCCGAAATCCAGCGCTTTGACTCGCTCCCCCTTGAACGCCCCCGTGTGCCGACCAAGCCGAAGAAGACGCTCATGGAGTGGCTGTTCGGAGGCAATCTGCAGTTCACCATTCCGAAGTACGCTAGTGACCCTACGGACCCGATGGCGATCCAGCTCGCGACGTCGCTGCAGTACCAGGCTGCAACTGGTCCCCCGGCGCTCCCCAAGTTCCTGCGCGAGTACGTCGAGAAGGTGTACCAGCCGGGCTACGCCGACTGGGACGTGCTTGTTGATGTTGGTGCGACGGATGGATTCGGCAAGGCGTTCAACATGCTGCTCACCATGGGCGATGCAGTGCTTGTTGAGGAGTGGTCGTACCCTGGTGCCATGAACGCGTACATGCCGTTCGAGGTCGAGCGCGTCGCGGTGCGCATGGACGGCGAGGGTGTGCGCCCCGACCACCTCGAGGACATTCTGACCAACTGGGACCAGCGCACCGAGGGCCGTCCCCGCCCGCGCGTGTTCTACACCGTGCCGACGGGTCAGAACCCGACGGGAGCTACGATGTGGCACCAGCGCAAGAAGGAGGTGTACGCCATCTGCCAGAAGTACGACGTCGTTATCATCGAGGACGACCCCTACTTCACCCTCCACTGTGGCGAGTACCACCCTCCGGGGAAGAAGCTGGCACCGCTCGTGCAGCGCTCCATCGACGAGCAGAAGAAGGAGGGCAAGAAGGGTAACCAGGCGTTTATTGACGCACTTCCGCCCTCGTACCTTCGCTTCGATACCGACGGCCGTGTCATCCGCCTCGACGTGAGCATAAATGTTGTCAAACACAACTGACTGCAGACCTTCTCGAAGACATCGTGCCCCGGCTCGCGCCTTGGTTGGTTCACGTCTTCGCCTCTGTTCATCGAGCGTTTGACGCGCGTGTCCGAGGCGAGCACTCAGGCGCCGAGCGGCTTCGCGACCGCGCTCACGACGACGATGCTCACCACTTGGGGCTTTGACGGCTACATCCGGTGGCTCCGTGGTATCAAGGCGACGTACCAGCAGCGCCGAGACTGGATGGTTGACGCTCTGGGCCACGCGTTCCACCTCGAGTTCGATGGTGATTCGAGCTTCAACCCCCTCGTCGCTGAGACTCAGTTTGGCCGCTCGGTCACTGGTTATGCGCGCCCCGTTGCTGGCTCAGCCCAGGCGCAGTGGGACGAGAAGCGCGGCGCGAGCTCGGCCCTCGGCCACCCGCTCATCTCCTTCATCCCGCCTTCCGCGGGCATGTTTGTCTTCGTCGGCGTGCACCTCACCCACCACCCCGAGTACGAGCGCCTCGGGGACGAGGTGCTCATGCGAAAGCTGTGGAAGCGCCTTGCCGAGCACCTCGTCCTTTTCGCGCCTGGGTGGGCGTTTGACTCGTGTGGCGTGCACGACATCGGCGGCAAGGGCATGGGCTACTTCCGCCTTTCGTTCTCGATCCTGCCGTACGAGACGATGCAGAGCGGCATGGTCACGTTCGCCAAGGTGCTGACCGAGTTCATGCAGGGCAAGTAGCGTAGCTGGAATGAAAAATGCAAATACATCTGTAGATATGCCTGGAGAGTACAGCGTTTGTCTATGAATAATGTGACTGAGACTAGCCACGGCGGCGCTTCTCGCGCTTCTTCTCCTTCTCCATCTGCTTCTCCTCTGCACGCTCGTCGTTGAGCCCGCCGACGGCCTTGCGCATCTTGGCGTTGTACTCGGCGTCCTTGGCGGCCTGCTCGCGCGCCTTCTCGGCCGCGAGGAAGCGGTTGTCCTTGCGCAGCTCGCGCATCGCGCCCTTCTTCTCCTTCTTGTACTGCGCCTTGAGCTTGGCGACAGCGTTGCGCTCGACGTCGGGGTCGTAGTGCTTGCCAGGAGCAAAGTCGGCCTCGAACTTGGGCGCGTAGGTCGCGATCGGTACAGGCTTGTGGTCCTGCAGCATGAGAGGAGCACGGGCCTGCTTGGCGAACATGAGCTGCTTGCCCAGCTGCGTCGTCGCCGTCTCGATCTGCGCCTTGAGAGCGGGCGCGAGCTTGGCCACACGGATATCAGTCATAAGCTTCTGCAGCGGCGTGAACAGCTCGATGTAGCCGGGGTTCTCGGACGACATCGTCGCCAGAGTGGAGATGAGACCGAGAGCGACAGCAACGAGATCACTCTTCACCTGCTCGTTGTCCTCGGTGAGGGCAGCAGCAAGCTTGGCCGGCTTGCTCGGTTCAGCTCCCGTCTTCATTGTAATGTCACACGCGAGGAGATCCGGGAAAGCAGTGCACTTGCCGGCCGCCTTCTTGCGCGGAAGCAGGGCAAGGAGCGAGTTGGCGATGAAGTTGATGGCTTCCGGCACCATGCGCTTCGACTGCGCCTCGTACTGGGAGATGACAGAGGAGAGGAAGAGACCGGAAGCGACATCCCGCGTGGAGCGGATGCGGGACTGGCTGAGGTATTGCCCGATGAGGAGCTCGGCAGCCTGCGCGACAGGGTGCGAGAAGTCACTCGTAGACCAAAGCGTGCCAATGAGGCGGAGGATGATGAGCTCTGCAGCGCCCGGAAGCGTCTTCGAGTCCGGAGACGACGGTCCCTTCGTGAGTCCGCGCTGCAGGTTCTTCTGCATCAGCGTGAGCTTGGCAAGGAACTGGTGCGCAGCGGCAATTGGGTTCAGCTTGACGAGAGCAGCGAGGTGGGGGTTAAGCGAAGAGATGGAGTCGAATGGCGGCTCGTCCTCAGAAGCGAGAATCAGGATGTAGTCGAGGAGTACACCGAGGAAGTCCTGCAGCTTCTCCTTGTTTCCCTGCGCGAGTGACGGGTGGTGAATGGCACGGATACGGGTAACAACGATGGGGAGCGCGCTGTTGTCGAGTCCCTCGAGGCACTCCTCGAACTCCTCAACGGTCGCAGGACACGGGAAAGTGTAAGGAATCTCCTTCACAGCGGGCGCCTTAGCCTTGCCCTTACCCTTGTCCTTGCGCTTGCGGGGAAGCTCGTCCTCGCTCTCCTCCTCCGAGTCCTCCTCAGCATCGCTGTCCAGGTCCTCCATGTCCGATCCGGCAAACTCTCCAGCGTCAGAGTCGCTGACTTCACCGTCGACGTCAATCTCTCCATCCTCGTCATCCTCGCTTCCCTCCTCGTCAGAGTCACCCTCCTGGGAGTCGGACTCGGAGTCCGAACCAGCGTCCTGCTCAATGGCTTCTCGCGTGATACCCTTTCCGAGCAGCGAGATGCCGCCGTCCTCGTCGACATCACCCATGAAGTCATCTCCCAAATCGTCGGCTTCAGGAGCGCGGTCACCCTTGCGGCGCTTGTTGGAAGGACCATCCTCGTCCTCAGAGTCCTCGCCACGCATACGGCGAAGACGCTTCGCCTCAGCCGCCTCAAGTCGCTCCTTCTCCTCCATGGCCTGCTCCTCCTCGGTCTTCGTGCGGTCCTTCGGCTTGGCACGAGCGTCAAACGCAAGTGATCGCACAAACTGGTCGTAGCCGTCGTCGTTGATCTCGTCGGCCATGGCCGGGGCAGTTCGTTGGGTGCCAGGAAGCTGAACTTCAGGCTTGACAGTCGCAGTACCGCCAGCGATGAGGGCACGGATGTCGTCGAGGTTCTCGTCGAGCTCCTCACGCATCTCGGCGTCCGCCTCCTTCTCCCTTTGACGCTCCATCTTGTACTCCTTGCTCTTCGCGATGATCTCGGACATGACCTCTTGCTTCGTCTTCTTGCGCTCAGGCTGTTGGGTCAGTTCAGATCCACGTGCGTCGTAGCTCACCATCTCCTCGTCCTCTTCCTCGTCGCCGAAGCCGCCAAAGTGGTTGCGCATAACTTGCCGACGGTCAATGGCACCATTCGTCTCCTCCTCGTCATCCTCTCCGAAGCCCTGAGCGACAAAGTCGTCGCCAGGAAGATCCATAACACTTCGACCACCGTGCGTGAGACCGCCGAGAGCGAATCCGTCGTCATCGTCGCCGAACAAGTTGTCGTCGTCCTCAAGGTTGAACATGCCCTTCTTGCCCTGGCCTCGCTGCCTTTCCCGCGTGTAACGCTCGAGCATACGGTCCTCCAGAGACATTGTCGGGTCAGATTCACCGAAACGACGGTCACGGAAAGTACCCGTGTGGTCCTTCAGGTTGTGCTCCTGCAAGAGGGTCTGGCGACGCTGCACGTTAGCTGCTGATCGGTAATAGTCAAGCTCACCTGCTCGATACCGGCCTGCCTGCTGGCGGCGGGGCGACCAACGACACCCTTAAGGTTGCGACCACCAACATCGTGCTTTGTCTTCGTCTCGCGCTCGTCGAACTTGTTGAACTTGGCTCGGATCTCATCGAGCTTCGCGGCCTTCTTGGCGCGGTCGACGTCCTGGGACTTGCCGCCCTTCTTCTTCTTCGTGTCCTTCTTCCCACCAGATTTCCGGTTCAGTCCAGCGGAGTTGAGCGCAGCCTTGAGCTGCTGCAGCTGGGACGGAGCCATGCTGTCGTTTGTGTGAGGGTGCTGGAGCGAAGCTGTAGGCAACAACAAGCCGGCTGCTCAACTTTTGAGGTGGAGGCGGTTCGGCACCGGTTGTAGGTGTCAATTTTTGGTGGTGATGATACGGAGATAAGGTGATCTCCGCTCACCCTCGACGTCACTAGCGATAGATGCCGACCAGGTCCATCAATCGCACCTGTTGACATCTTATCTATACTTGAAATACCAGTCAGCACGGAAACAGCGGACAATGCAGGCCGAACCTTCGAAGGACAAGGACCTGTCCTTCGCAAGGCTCAGTGACCTCAACTTCCATGTTGCTGTCAAGATGTGGGTGGCAAACCGTCGTACTCAACCGAGTTCGCTGACATCAGTGTGTCGCTGGAGGGTCGGATCCCAAAGACACCGTACAGCGACCTCCTGGAGAACGAAAACCTCAGGCATACTGGAGTTCAGCAGGAGTAAGCTGTTCAAATCTCTCAGCAGCTGACGGTAGCGGCCTAGCCGATCTCTACGTTACGTGCCAACTGTGGACGGATGGCAAAGCCGAGACGCTGCCGTTCCGGACATCGTGGAAGGACTTCTCGAGGACCTACTTGTGAGCTGTGGACGCAGTCTCGAACTAATGTCCTACTCAGATGGAACCAGACGGTTGTACTTCCTATCACGTACACGAGTCTACTCCCAACCTCTCAGCTGGCGTTCACGATCTGGGATGTCCAAGGACCAGGCAAGCCCGTTCCAGTGGGCGGGACAACGATGAGCTTGTTCCGACCCGATGGTACGCTTCGAAGAGGTCAGCAACGTCTGTTCGCGCACCGATATAAGGAAGCGGATCCGCGACCAGATACAACAACGCCGAGCGAGGTGCCGACGGCGAAGGATGAGATGGGTCGGCTGGAGCAGCTGGTCAAGGACTACGAACGGGGCGACATCGCCAAGATCGACTGGCTGGACCGAATAGCGTTTAGGCAAATAGAGCGGGCTCATGCGGTACGCTGCAATCACAAGGTACCGTAGCTGACGTACAGACCGAGGCCAGCAAATCCGACAACCTGTACCTATACGTCGATCTGCCGCGGTTTGACTTCACTGTCGTCTTCTCAGAGCAGGCGAGCGCAATTCCCTACCCGCCGGCACCCGTCTCACATCCCCTACCACCACATCAGCAAGCGACCTCGGTCCCTTCGAATACACTTACGAATGATCGGAATCTGTGGACCCTGTACGATCCTGACTCTTGGCGAGAGAACCCAGTGGAGATCAAACATCGCAAGCTACTCCGTAGCCAGCGCCTGGGTGACGAGGGACGAGACTTGAAGCCCGGGCCCTCAGATCGAGACCGCCTGAACGAAATCTTCCACCTGCCGCCAACAGCATCGCTATCTGCCAACGACAAGGATCTGCTGTGGAAGTTCCGATTCTCGCTCTTCCGCTCACCGCGATCTCTGACAAAGTTCTTGAAATGTGTAACCTGGTCGGACGCTGAAGAAGCTAAGCAGGCCACCGAGAAGCTGTTGCCACTCTGGGGCCAAGATGTCGGGATCGACGATGCTCTCGAGTTGCTTGGTCCGGGATTCTCTGATTGCCGCGTTCGAGCATTTGCTGTAGAAAGGCTGAAGCGCGCTGATGATGAGGTGAGTCGTGAATTGCCGGCCTCGAACTGACAAGCAGGAGATTTTGCTCTATCTGCTGCAGCTGGTGCAGGCGCTCAAGTTTGAGCATGAGCCAACGTCGACTACACGGAGCCACCGTCGCCGCGACCAGCCAGCCGAGGAACGAGGGGGCAGCGGTCTCGCGCAGTTCCTCATTGACCGTGCTGTGGCAAACCCGATCCTGGGCACCACATTCCATTGGTACCTGTCGATTGAGTGCAACACGCAGACTGCCGTAGGCAAGCTTTACGCCAAGGTCGCCTTCAATTTCCACCGCAAACTGGAGGAGACGCCAGAAGGATCGGCCCAGCGCGCGGAGCTGCAGCATCAGAACGAGCTTGTCGAGGCACTCACGACTCGTGCTAAGGACGTCAGAGCATCGAAGGATGCGCGGTCACATCGCATCGACAAACTGCGATCTTACATCGCCGACTCCAAGCATAACCTATCCCCGCTGCCGCAGGCGGTAACTCTGCCTCTAAACCCTCGCATCAGCGTCAGCAACATCATTCCGGACAAGGCTTCCGTCTTCAAGTCAAACCTATTCCCATTGCTGCTGTACTTCCAGAAGTGTAAGGAAGAAGGTGAAGAGGAAGGAAGCGACGCGGAGCCGGCAGGCGAGTATCCGATCATCTTCAAGGACGGCGACGATCTGCGTCAAGATCAGCTTGTGATTCAGCTGTTCACCCTAATGGACCGACTGCTGCGCAAAGAGAATCTCGACCTCCGCATCAGCCCATACTCCGTCTTGGCCACATCGTCTGCGGCAGGTATGATTCAGTTCGTGCCCAGTAAGAGCCTGGCAGCCATCATGGCAGAGTATGGCAGCCTTCAGGCATACCTGCGCGAGAACCATGCGGATGACGGCGCCCTGGGATCGTACGGCATCGAGGCTGGCGTCATGGACAATTTCATTCGAAGCTGTGGTAAGTTTCAATAATCTCATTTTCAAACTGACTGGCAGCGGGCTACTCCGTTCTGACCTACGTGCTGGGCGTCGGCGACCGCCACCTGGACAACCTCATGTTAGCGCCCGATGGACACTTCTTCCACGTCGACTTCGGATACATCCTTGGTCGCGACCCGAAGCCGTATCCGCCGCCGGTTAAGGTGTGCAAGGAGATGGTGGACGCGATGGGAGGCACGGCGTCGGCGCACTACGCGCGCTTCCAGAGCTTGTGTTACACAGCTTTCATTGGGCTGCGCAAGAACTCGAACCTGATCCTTAACCTCGTTGCGCTCATGGTCGATGCTGGCATCCAAGACATCCAGCTTGAGCCGGACAAGGCTGTTTGGAAGGTAGGTTGTGAGGCATCTTTTGCCGCTAACTTTCAGGTGCAAGAGAAGTTCATGCTCGACCTGTCCGAGGAAGACGCGATCAAGCAGTTCGAGGTGCTCCTCAACGAGACGTCGTACCTGACTGCCATGTTCGACAGGATCCACGACTGGTGAGCTTTGTTCAGTACGAGCGTGAGCTGACAGACAGGGCCCAGTACCTGCGAGACTAGACGAGCACTGATGATATCTTGGGGTGTTGTAACTGTTGTATATGCATGCCTAGATGAGCACATCCTGACCACCAGCGCTTTTCGGACTTCTGCCTGCGGCTAGCTATCGCTGGCGATGGTTATTTGCCGGGCCCTGACTCCAGGGCGGACAGGGCAAGGCTTGGCGTGCCGAGAACTGCAGAGATCTAGGACTGTGGGGCTCAGCTCGTCGCCAAAACCTCGACCCGTAAACACATCCACTTCGCCGCTGATAAATAGTCTGACCGGAGGACCGTCACGATTTCCAGACTAGCGATCTAGCGACTAGCAAGAAACTTCAAACGCCCGCCCTGCTCGGCTCCGGCAATTTCAGACATTGCACTGTTCCCCGTGTCTGCGGCGTCTTGTCAATACTGCATCGAGCGCAACTTCGCACCCGACAGCTCTTCGATCAGAGGGGCCGGCTTCTGCAAACCGACATCACACACTCCTTTCGCATCTCCCTGTGTACCGAAACACGCGACACAAACGCGCCGACTTCTAGAACCTTAGAGCGAAGATTCCCATGGCGCGACCGGATGGTGGGCCGCCACCGCAATCGCTGTCCGAGAAAGCCGAGGAGGTGGAGGGTGGCTGGGGGGATGGCGCTGGCAAACCGACGTTCTGGAGACAGGTGAAGGCGCTCTTCATCAAGAATTGGTGAGTCTTTCTCGACCATGATGATAGCTGCGGGTGGAGCTGGGCCGCAAGCAGCATGGGAGTTGTGAAGTAAAACGCTAGGCGCGTGCCCGGCGGCCATGCGGGCATCGGGTGAGACCGACTCCTGATCGGCATTCACCATCGCCGGCCGTTCCTGAAAGCGTCCTGTCTTGGCGGTCTGGACGTCATCCTCACCTGGCCGTTTGCCGACTTGGCCCCTGGCGTCAATGGCTTGGACAGCGTCCAAGACGTCCAAGCGATGTCCAAGGCTTCCAAGCTGTGCAAACCGTCCAAGCGTTGAGTCTTAGGAACCCAGTTGGCCGAGATCGGATCGGACACGTCCCCGACGTCATTCACAGAGCTGTCTAGGTGAGGTTCCAAGCTGACAACAGGATCGTGATTTTGCGCCATCCCTTTCTGAATCTGATCCGCTGCCTGATCCTGCCGTTGTTCTATGCGGCTTTCCTCTCGAACGCGCGCTACCTCTTCGCGAACAACGGCCGCTATGGTGTGGGGCACGTGCAGGACTTACCAGCGTTGAAGGAGGATCTGGGCGGCGAGAAGCTCGTGTACTATCTACCGCCAGACGCTGAGCCTTGGGGAAGTCGACTGCTGCAGGCGACTCTCCAGAATGCCGGATTGTCGGAGCGGAACGTCAGGTTGATCGGCCTCGACAACCCGGACGTCAGCACACACTGCCCCCAGAACCTGAACGGGTTCAGCGAGTGCTTTGCCGCCCTTGTGTTCTCCCAGGTCGACCCGGAGGAGCAGAGACTAAACTACACATTACGAGGTGACTTTGGGTATAGGTCTGTCGATGTCGACAGTCCCGGAAACGACGACCAGGCATCGCGGTTCCTGCCCCTTCAGTGGGCTGTGGAGGCCAGCTTCGTCCAGCTCGTCAGCGGCGAACTGCCCCAGCCGCCACAGATATGGGAGTACACGTCCAAGACGCAAAATCAGCACGATGCGCAGATGGGACGCTGTGAGTTCAGCTTGAAAGACGTCCATAAGCTGACATCAGCCTACATGCGTGGTGCGAGGGACATTCTTGTTCTTGGCTGGGTCGTCGCGTACATTCTGGCTGTCTATCACCTGCCAGGCCGCATGGCGAGCGAGCGGGCCAGCGGCCTTACGGAGCTCTTGACAGCGCAGGGATGCTCTGGCTACGCGCGCATAGTGTGAGCAGCCGACCCGCTTCGTACCAAACTGATGCCAGATCGTGGAGCCTCTCGATCTGTTCGGCACACATCCTCGTTTGGATCCTCTTCGGCGTCATCTATGGCACGACGATCATGCCTGAGACTAACACCGGCTATCTCGTCGTCCTCTTCACGGTCATGGGCATCATGCTCGTGAATTGGAGCATGCTCGTCGCGGCGCCCTTCAGCCGGGTGCCCTCGCTGGCTGCGATCGTGGCTGCCGGGCTGCTGGTTCTGTGGGCCGTCGTTGGGCATCTTGTCGGGAGCAACGCAGCAGTTCAGATTGTTCTCGTGCTCATCCTGCCGCCGACATTCGTCGTCTCCGCAGTCAGGGGCATCGCGTCCTTCGAACTGGCCGTGCGACCTACGAACATGGTCCAGAAATCGCCAGACGGCGACGCACCCCAGATAGCGCTGCTCTGCATGGCCCTTGTTGTCATCGTCGTTTATCCCCTGCTCGCGCTCTGGGTTGAGAAAACATTGTTCGAGGTGTCGAAGAAGAAGAGCGGACACATGCCGGCGGGGGCAGACGTGCCTACTGACGTCGCGGTGCGCATCTCCCACCTCAGGAAAGAGTACGCATCGCGCAATGGCCGATTCCTCGGCCGGAAGCGGCGGATAGTCGCGATCGAGGATCTCAGCCTCGACGTTCCGCTGGGAGAGATAACGTGCCTGCTCGGCCGGTAAGCTTCAACCCGTCCAGTCCAGCTGACATCAGGAACGGCGCGGCAAAGTCAACGACCCTCTACGCGCTCGCGCGCATGACGCCCGTCACCTCGGGCCGCATTGAGATCCAGCCCCGACTACGCATGGGACTGGCGGGACAGAAGGACGTACTCTGGGACGACCTGACTTGCTCAGAGCACGTCCGCCTCTGGGGCGCGATCAAGGGCGGCGGGCTCGGTAAATCCGATGCCGACGCGCTCTTAGACCGCTGCGACCTAGACGGCAAGCGCCGCGCTGTTTCCAAATCTCTCTCCGGGGGTCAGAAACGTAAGCTCCAGCTCGCATGCGCACTTGCCGGCGGGTCCGACTTGCTGTTGCTAGACGAAATCAGCTCGGGGCTTGACCCGCTCTCACGCCGCGCGATCTGGAAAGTGGTGGCAAGAGCCCGGGCGGTAGGCACGACGGTCATTCTGACAACGCACTTCCTCGACGAGGCAGACTATCTCGGGGACCGCGTCGCTGTGCTCCAGCAGCCGGGTCGATTGTTAGCATACGACACGCCAGTCGGCCTGAAGACGCGCCCTGGTGCCGGCTTCTCCGTGGCGGTTGAAACGGACGGCAACGTCGCTTTGCCTGGCTTGGTGCAGCGGCTTCAAGACGAGACGGGAGTGCCGGTCACGCACCGCGTACTCCCCAACGGCGCGCTATTGCTCGATACGGGCAGCACGGACGCACGAGGAGTGGAGACGCTAGTGATCGCTCTGCAGCAACTGCGTACGCAGGGAGAACCCCTCCATTTCCAGGTCGGCAGCACGTCGCTCGAGGACGTCTTCCTGGACCTGAACGCAGATCACCCGTCGCGGTCCACGTCGGTGACCGAGGACGATGCTTCGACAAGTCAGGGCGGTGAGGGCGAGAAGTTCTATGACGCGAAGGAGGCGCCTTCCCGCACCGACGATCCCGAGGCGAGCATGCCCGAGCTCGGAGCTGGAAAGGGCACACTTGCATTATCGCCGGGTGCCCGGCGAAGTAAACTGAGGACGTGGGCCGGACAGGCGGGCACGATCTTCGTGAAGCGACTCATGGTGCTAAGGCACTCCTGGGTTTTGCCAGCTATAGGAGTCATCGCGACGCTGCTCCTGCTCTGCATCCCGCTCATGTTCTTGATCGAGCGCACGGCCGGCTGCGCCTACATGGCGGACACGGAGGAGCTGCTGCCGCTGTCGTACCCGAGCGCAGTGGGGCTGGGAGCTCAGCCGGCGGTGCTGACTTTCGGCGACTCGGGGCTCCAATCGTGGGCCGACCGCTCCCTGCTCTCGTACACCAAACGCGATAACCGTGATCAGTGGCAGAGCTACCTCGATTCGCACATGGCGACGGAGAAGCTGGGCGGCGCGTCCTTCGCCAACGTGACGCAGGAGCAGATTGTCGCGTTCGAGGGCTCGCCGCGCCGGAACAAGGGCACGGTCATGCTGAATCTGTTCTCGAACAGCGTACTCCAGCAGCTCGCGCCGGCTCAGGGGAGCCGATGGCGCATCAGCACGTACTTCCAGTACATCCCGGGACAGGACTTCAGCAATACAGGCTCGTCACTCAAGTGGCTCGTCTTCTTGTAAGCTTCAAGCTTTTCTGCTTTAGCTGACGGACAGTGGCATTGGCATCGCCGTGTGGCCAGCGTTCGCGGCGCTGTACCCGACTCAGGAGAAGGTGACCCTCGTCCGTGCGAACCAGTACAGGTGAGCTTTCAGATTGGTGCAGCTGACGGCAGCAACGGGGCCAGTCCCATTTCACTCTGGACCGGTCACCTGTGGTTCGAAGTGCCCGGCGTGCTGATCGTTGCAACCATCGCGACTATCGCCTTCGCAGCCATAGGACAGTTCCGGGGCGTCGGCGAGCTGTGGGTGTGCCTCGTGTTGTATGGTCTCAGTTCGACGATTTACGCGTTCGTCTTTGCCGTCTTCGTTGGCAGCGTGCTCGGCGCCTGGGCCGGTGTCGCCATCTTCAACGCGATCACGTTCCTTCTCTACCTGTCAGCTGTCTTGCCATGCCAAAGCTGACATCAGGATCATCTACATGTGCCTCCTGACCTTTGACACGAGCTCAAAGGCCACCGACCACATCAACCTCGCGCATTTTGTATTCGCAATCGTGTCGCCTGTGCCCAACATTGGTGAGTTGTGGGAACCCGTCTCCGAGAACTGACACCAGTCCGTGCCGCCATGGTGAGCACGAACTCGTTCAACCTCCTCTGCGACGGCGTAGGAGGATTCACGACGGCCAGCATGGGCAGCATGCTCCTCTTCGGCGGTCCGATCGTGTACATGATCGTGCAAGGTCTGTTCGCGTTCGCGCTCGTCGTGTGGGCCGACTCGGGCTACCCTCGTCCCGGTTTCCTGCGCCGACGCTCTAAGCCTCTCCCTCCCAGTCCCGCCACTGCTGGAGACTGGGTCCAGGATATCGCGGATGAGAAGGCACGTGTAGCAATCTCGACCGATGCGCTGCAAGTGAGAGACCTGACCAAGCGATACCGCAAGGCGAAGAAACCGGCCGTGGACGACGTGACCTTTGGTGTCGATCATGGTAGCACCTTCGCCCTGATCGGTCCCAACGGTGCAGGCAAGTCGACGACGCTGGCGTGCATCCGCGGTGTCGAGAAGCCGAACCGCGGCGACGTGCTTGTCGAGAGTGCTTCAATTGTCGCGCGAAGAAATCGAGCGTGAGTACAACTCAGCTAGGTGGCCCAAATGCTTAGCTGACATCAGACGAGCGGCTCTCGGCGTGTGTCCGCAGGTGAACGCAATCGACCCGTCCTTGACCGGTACGTCAGCTGTCGGCCACCCCTCCTTTAGCTGACATCAGTCCGCCAGCATCTCTGGGTCTACGGCCGCCTCAAGGGCGTCCCATCAACAGCATTGAAACGGGACATCAGCGTCCTCCTCGCCGGCGCGGGACTTACCGCCAAAGCGGACGAGTTTGCGAGCAGTCTCTCGGGAGGCAACCAGCGCAAGCTGTCCCTGGCGCTCGCGCTTTTGGGTGACCGGCCGGTGGTGCTGATTGACGAGTTCTCCTCCGGCGTCGACCCCTTCAGCAAGCGCGAAGCGTGGGGCACGCTGCGCGCGTTGACCAAGGATCGCGCAGTCCTCATGACGACACACAGTATGGAGGAGGTCGACGCGCTCGCGGACCGCGTCGGAATCATCGCGTCGAGGCTTCTAGGTGAGTCACCCGCGTCACCTGCGTCATGGTTGGGCTCGGACGGTACCGTGTTTCGTTGCACAAGCACCGCGGCGAGAACCAAACAACGTCCTCGAGGTCCGAGCCCGCCCGACCCCGCCCCCACCCTCATTGCTGACATGCAGCCGTCGGCACACCCTCCGGCCTGAAAGCGCGGTACGCGACGTACGAAGTGCACGTCTCGGCTGGGGACGCGGAGCGTATCCTGTCCCACCTCGAAGCGGCCGGGTTCGCAGCCTGCCGGTCCGAGGACACGAATACGCGCCTCTCGGTGCCGAACGTTGGCGAGGGACAGCTCGCGTCCCTGCTCGAGGCACTGCGACAGACGGGCAGTCAGTGGACGATACATGAGTGAGTCACGGCCATTTTCTTATCAATACCCGGTCGATTCCAATACATGAGCGAGCGGTGGGGTCAGAATGTTCGAGAGGGTGTGAGGGTGTGTGAGAGTTGCACTGCCAAGAGGAGAGAGAAGGGTGGCTCAACGCCACGGCGTATGGCGTGCCCGTGCGTAGAGGGGTAGGCGGGGTAGGTTGCACGACTCGTTTCGCTGTATTCGCGAACAAACACGGCAGAAGGACGCGAGTGTGGGTGGTGGTTGCGAGCTACGTGCTGCAGGTTGCAGGCAGTCATGCACCGCAGCAGGGTCAACGATGGCGTCTTGGGTGCCAGGGGCAGGGCATGCAGGACGATCGGCCGAGCCCGGCTGTGTCCTGGGCGTGGCTGGCGGAGGCTAATGGCTAATCCGGACATGGCCGGAGGGTTGGCCGCAGGGTCGCGGGCCGCAGGGGCTAGGCGGGCAGCTTGGCACTCCCATTCGCGAAGTCGCCCAGCGGTAGCCAGCGCACGTACATCCAGTTAGGCTCGAGCTGTGCTTCGTTCGTGTCTCTCTCAGGTCCAATTCCAGAGATTCATCCCCCTCAGATCTGACTCCCACTCCGCTCAGCAAGCTCGGACAAGTTGCCGCGCATGCTTTTGGAAAAACATGTCGGATGAACGACACGCTGACACGTTTACGCAGAGCGTCGACGGAGACGGCCTTCCTGACGATTGTGCGGGGTGCGAAGGTCCAGGAGGCCGCGGAGGCTGCGGAAGACGTAGGCGGGAGTCGGTGGAGACTGGGCCGGCTGTGCGTGCGGCGGCGGTGATCGCTTGCGAGGTTCAAGACTTCCTGCAGGGCGAGGAGTAGATCGATGATGCATGGTATTGTAATCAGGCAGCCCTACTGTAATTGAGGTATTTAGGTTGATTGGTGGGAGGTTATTATTGGCTGGAAGGGAGTGTGCTGGATGAGGATTGGCCTGGGGTAAAGCGGGGGGATAAGCGTATACGTCAGTGGCACCAGGACAGAGAGACCGGATAATCGCGAGTGGGCCCCAGACCATCGGCCAGGGAGAGTCATAGGGAGTTCAGGGATGAGGGGGATCTCGTGACCACCCGGAGTCCTTGAGTCATCGCAGCTCTGGTGCATGTGCTCACCCACCCATCCATCCAGAGCACGCCGACACACGCATCGACTCAACTCACCCCCCAGCCCCGATCTTATGTCTTCCCCCACCTACCATCCCCGCAGACACGTCTAGGTCACCTGAGCACTCGCCCACATATATAACCGCAACTCACCACGTCAACCCCTCTCCTCACAGTCTCACGACTTAACTACAACCTCACCCCCCACCGCGACAGCAACAACAACCACAACCAACCAACCGCCAAGATGACTCGTACCGAGGTGAGTTGGCTGATGCTGCCGTATGAGCCTGAGCTGACATTGCGTCCCCTCTTTCGACCATGTTCCATGCCCACACGACCACTTCTACACAACAGCGCCGCACCTCTCCCGCCGCGATCATGCGCGACAAGCACTCGCGCAACGGCCAGGTCAAGGGCGAGCACGACCGCAAGATGGGTGCCGGTGCGCACAACTGGGGCTCGCTCAACCACGAGGAGACCAACATCTACCAGGGGAACCTCGACGCGGAGCAGGAGGGCATGTTTGACGCGGACAACATGGACATGGGCGACGCCTCTGTGTCGCCCCAGAACAGTGTCTCCAGCGTCGACTCGGAACCCCGCCCCACTGGCCGCCGCATGAGCGCCGTCAGCGACGAGGACCGCGAGCGTGCAACCCGCTACCGCGAGGGCGGGTACAAGAAGGGCGAGCCGACGCTCATCGAGATTGCCCGCTCGGCCGTCGGCGTCCAGGACCCCAACGCCGAGGACAAGGAGATGCTCTCCACCTCGCCCCTCCGCTCCAAGGCTGGATTCAGCGTGAGTATGACTCCACCTTTCACATCATCCCTCGTCGTCGCCAGCTTTGTCTTCTTGTGCTTGTGCAAGCTAACCTCCCCGCAGCAGCGCTAATATACCCCACCCCTGCAATGCAGGGTCGTGATATCCCACACCATGCATACGCCCACTGGGCCCCCACATCAAGGCAAACAGCAAGCAAGCAACACCCCACGTAATCGCATATTCCAAGAGTTTTGACATTGTAGTTATCCTGTAGTAGTAGTGAGCACGAAAGAGAGAAGAAATGCAACGTAAGAAGTCCACCCGTCCACCACTAGCGAGCGCAGCGAGCGTCTCCGAGCAGCGAGCAGAGTGTGTGTGAAAGAGTGAGCACTGATCAACGAGGGTGAGATTGATTCCCGAGCTCGATATGGATGATAGATACCCGAGCACCTCTCCTCGAGCCCGCCGCAACCGTCAGTGGTGGTAGCGAGCAAGGCCACACGAGCAGCGAGCAAGGACAAGATGCTCGTGCGAGCACATTCTTCGACAGCGTGACGGGTGTGACCCGATGCAGCCGGCCTGCGTGCTGTGTGGCCTGTGTGGCCTGTGTGGACATGCCTTCGCAGTACACTTCGTTGCATTCCGAGCCTTAGTTCGAAGGAACGAAGGGCGACGAGGGGGACGAGGGGGGACGAGGGGGGACGATGGGCCGATGGAAACGGGACCAAGTGAAATGCCATGGGGCACATGAACTGCGGTGGTGGTGTGTGGTGCATGTTGCATGTTGCATGTTGCACGGTGCCGACGCAGCCGGGCAGCCAGCTGCAGCCAGACCCGCGGGCAAGGCATGCAAGGCACTTGGCCAGAGGCCAGAGGCCAGAGCCCTCTGGAGCCAGAGGGGTGGCCGGGGCGGGTGGAGGACGATCGAGCACGTCAGAAGCTTGTTGGATGGGGTCAGGGGTGGAGGGGGGGCACGTGATGTGGCGATTTTGGGCCCCGCATTCTACCCTCTGTGAGGCGGGCTGGGGCTGGAGAGTGGGAGGGGCGGAAGACGTGAGGCAGGGCACACGGGGCGTCGTGTATGGCGCAGCGCGCAGCGGTGCTGGAGTAGGAGATGAGAGTGAGAAGAAGATGAGGAGTAGAGGGGGCGCAGTGAGTACGTGAGTGCACAGAAGGAAGCATGGCGCAGATCGTGTGCGGGGCGCAAGGGCCAGAGCCATGCAACGTCAAGCAGTGCACCGTCAACACGTCAACAGCACCTGACAACACAACACATATCCCTTTGGTATTCCCCAGCTCATAGAGAGTAGTAAGCTCGAATGCTAGAGATTCTAGGCGGAGCTGACTCCAGTCCATTCCCTGCTTCTCGGTGAGCTGCTATGTCCTCGTCGTCCAGCTGACCATCAGCCTCAGCCTGTTAAAATGGATCGTGAGTTTCACGGAAGCCTCGATAACTGACACGCAGTCATCGTAAGCTGGCTCTGTGTAGTGGACGCTGACCCGATAGTTCAAACAGGTGAGCTACCGATGCCATCCTTCTAGCTGACGAGTAAGTTACCAGGTGGAGAAACGAGGCTCGGCAACGGGGAAGTGTGAGCTGATCCTCTGAGGAGGACAGCTAACGAGCAGACGGGGTGAGCTTCGAACCAGTTTTCCTCGAGCTGACAGACAGTCCTGGGACAGTGTGAGCTGGCCCGTTGATGAGCACAGCTAACGAGTAGACGGGGTGAGCTTCGAACCAGTTTTCCTCGAGCTGACAGACAGTCCTGGGACAGTGTGAGCTCGCCCTTTGATGAACACAGCTAACGAGCAGACGGGGTGAGCTTCGCACCTGTGATAATTGAGCTGACAGACAGTCCTGGAATAGTGTGAGCTGGGAAGCCGCAATTGTTCAGCTGACGAGCAGTCCTCAGGTTAGCTTCGAGGAGATAGCTACAGCTGACAAGCAGCAGTGGTTCCAAGTAAGCTGGTATGAGCACTTCGCAGAGCTGACGCCAGTTTGGCGAGTTGGTAGGCTGGCATTGCTTGCAGAAGCTGACAAGGAGACTGAGAGGTGAGCTGCGCCATCGTACCCCTCGTAGCTGACATGCAGAGTGGGAGTGGTGAGCTTGGCCGTAGCGACTGCAGCTGGAATCAGCTGTCGCAGTGAGAAGAGGTGAGCTTCTAGGACGAGATATGCAGCTGACAAGCAGCCAGGTGGGGGATGTGAGCTTTCGAAAACTCTCGCATCAGCTGACTCGCAGTCGTGTGCGTAGTACGAGCTTGTTTGCCAGTGAGGAGCTGATAACAGCCTCACTCCCTTGGAGCGTCCTTGGGAGCTAATCCGCTGTGAACGAGTAGCTGATACGCAGTCTCGTGCGAGATGTAAGCTGACAGCTTCCCTTTGAAGCGGACGGGGCAGACTGCGGTATTAGGTGAGCTTCGACTCTGTGTTCCAAGCTAACAGCAGGTCGCTTTGTGAGCTAACAAAGAACGGGTGCCTGCACAGCTGACTCCCAGGACGTTGATGTAGGGACAGATGTAAACTTCAGCAGAGGTGTGAAGCTTATGTCAGCCGCCGGCAGAACGAAGTAGGTTGAGCTTGCACAAGGTTTTGAGGATGTAGCTGACTTCAGAGCATCTGGTGCGTGTGCTAGGCGGTCTACGCAGATGAGCTCATCGTCAGCCCGTCCTGTCATTCTTCCCGAGGTGTAAACTGATGCTGAGCATTCGAGTCAGCTGACGAGCAGCGCCGAGAAAGGGTGATCTGTCCTGTGACCAACGACGCTGAGCAGCAGTGGACCGTAAGCTGCAGTTGGGTCCGACAGGGCAGCTGACAAGCAGGCGATAAAGTGTGTTGTTTTCTCCCTGGTCTCAGCTGATCGACAGCAAGATTGGGAACGGGTAAGCTGGCTGTCCAGTCAGACAAGCTCATCACAGGATGCCCGAATGGTCAGCTCGAGTATGCAGTTCAAGCTGACTTCAGCGTAAAAGCCGGGGAGCTTTTCATATGTGAGATAGATTAAGTGGTGAGCTGTCCTACCCCAACAAGCGCTGAAGCTGACCCCTCAGTTTGCAGAGAGGTGAGCTGTAGAACGCTCATTCATCAGCTGACGGCCAGTTCTACGCTGCATGGATTCACGTTGAGCGACTAACTCAGGTGAGCTGTACAACTGCCGTCGAAGCTTACGACAGCTCTCGAGAAGGCCGCAGAACTGTCGACCTGTAGCTGGATTGGACACGGCGCAGCCGAATATTAGCTCCATCGTCATCGTCTCTCCAATAGCTGTCTACTCATTAGACGGCGCGGATAAAAGTGAGCTTCTTGGATTGCAGTTAGCTTATTCCAGGCCGGCACTTCAAAAGCACGGCAGAGTCGAAGTAAGCTCTGTCTCAGCAGTCTCTGAAGCTGACAGGCAGGTTCATACTGCAGACGTCCCGCAACGCTCTCGACAATGAAGCAACTGCTCTGCTCCATGCCGCGCGGATCCCCTCTGTGCCTGTCTTCGGACGTTCTCGTGGTGTAGTGGTTATCATACTCTCTTAGGGTGATCTAACATCTTGAGCTTTGCCTCCAACGATCTCTGGTTCGCTAGGGATCAAGCTTGGGAGTGGCCCCGGGTTCAAATCCCGGCGAGGACCGTTTTTGCTCTTCCTGAGGTGTTCTGTGCATGCGAGAAAGCTGGGGATGTGGTTGGATGACTGGGAAGACAAGGAAGGGTTTCGTGCGGAGGTGGGGGATGGTGGTTGGTGGGCGGGGTGGAGGTGGCGCTTATCGGGTGTTCAGCACGAGCAAGCATCGCGCTTGATGAGTGAGTGCATCTGCAAGCTGTCAGGCGCCAAGCTAGCTGACTTCCAGTGCCAATGCAACGTCGACATCAAGGCCTACCGTCAGCATACCCATTCATGGGATGGCCACTTGTACCAGTCAGCTGGTGGCAGTCCCACAGCACAGCCGACAGCTGACCTTCTGGCGCCCTCATAGATGTGATTTGTAGTTCTTCCATGTTCGTCGCCTCTTACTTCCAACATGCATCAGCACTTGACTGTCAGTATTGCCAGTTGGACATTGGTTATGCCAAACCCAAAGACCGAGCGTGGGGCGGCAGCTACTGGGCGTGAAAGAGCTGACGGCCGATGCCTCTCAGCGCTCTTCCTGTTTATAATCGGCGTGGCACATTCAGGGAGTCGGAATGAGCTGAAAGGCCGCTCCAGCACAGCTGGCATGCAGGCAGGACCTCTGAACAGCTTGAGCGTGCTACATAACCCTCTTTTTCTCTGCAATTGTAACCGTGCGGCAAACATCCGAAATCCCAATTTCTGCCACACCTAAATCACGACGCAGTTATGACACACCCACCACTCTGCCAACATCAACAATCATCCAAGGCCGCTTAGCTCAGCTGGTTAGAGCATCGTACTAATAATCTGACGATTATCAGTCATGCGGAGGTCGGCAGTTCGATCCTGTCAGTGGTCATATCTTTTGCTTTTCTTGCTCTGCGCTGTCTGCTCTTTCTTTTGGAGGTGGTTTGAGCGAGAAAACGTAACTGGGATGTGTACTGGCTGTAGTGCGGGGGTCGCAGGTGAAGGTGGTGCCTGGTTGAAAATATTTAGCCGGTATTAGCCGGCCCATCACTGTAGCCGATTGAAGGCACTAGTTGAAACGGTGGCTAAGTTGCCGTCTCCCAGTCCGCCCCTCAGTGCCCTCCAAGCAGCATCTGCACGAAAGTAGAAACAATCTTATGTACATCTGTGCACAACGTCGTGAACGTGAAATGTGTCTATGGTGGTATCTAGCTAGTCTGCTAAAGGTCATACAAATGATACAGTTGGCTGAGCACCGAAGGGCACGCCCAGTATTACTTCTTTGTCTGCTCTCCGCCGACATCTCCCTTAACACTTCCCGACACACTGCCTCCTGCACTCCTGCCAAGGCTGCCCGCTGCACTTCCACCGACACTACCTCCAGCACTGCGTCCAACGCTGCCGGCCGCACTGCCCTTGCTCGCGCCCGCGTCCGACTCGGCGATGCTGCCCGTACGCGCTGGGCCGGTCGATGCCGCGTCGTCTTCGATATCAGGCAGTTGCTTTTGGTACAGCTTGAGGAGCAGGTCCATGCCCTCCTCGAGAGGGAGGGTGACAAACTTGTGCGAGTACTCGGGCAGCATGCGGACTGCGTTCTTGATGTGCTGGCTCGATGCCCAGTCGAGGAACGCGGCCGCGTCGCCTGTCGTCTCTCCCAGCGCGCGGAGCTTGGGAAGCGGGTAGTCGGCCGAGTGGGCACTGCGCGACTTGAATGTGAGGCCCTCGGTCGCCTCCTCCTCCGGGTCCTTTACGTTCGGGTCGATCTTGCGCGCCTTGCGCAGTGCGGCGGCGGATTGCGCGCGCACGTCGCCTCGCTTCTTCGCGCGGTCTAACTGCAGCTTCTGAATGTCGCTGTGCAGCTTGCGGAACGACTTGAGCGCGAAGCCGAGGAACTTGGGCACAACTTTGACGTCACCGTCCGAGTCACCCCAGACCACATCAAAGTCGTACAACACCGTCTTGCCCTCCTGGGTTGAACCCATGTCCAAGGTCATCCGCGGAAGCATCACCACAACCTTATAGCCGTGCTTCATTGCCGCGGAGATCAGCTCGCCGGCAAGTTGGTCATGCCGCTCAACCTTGGCCGCGCGCCTGCCATCGCACGTCTGCCATTCGACAAAGTCAACGTGCAGATGGAGGTTGCGCACGGGTCGTTGCTCGTCGTCCCGGCTTCGCGTCAGATCCGCGCCGACCTTACCGACGTAGAACCTGAGGAAGTCGGCGACGGTGCCGTCGTCGTAGTCGTTGACGAATAGACCAACGTCGAGACCCTTCAGCTCGAACTTCATGAGCTGCGCCGTACCCACGACCTTGGGCGGGTTCAGCTTCTGCTCGGCCGTGGGTGTGTTCGGAGTGGAACTGTTCAGAACCATCACCGAGTTGTTGTTCTCCGATCGCTTCTGTTGCTGCTTCAAACGGAAGGTCTTGCTGCGGTGTGCCGCGGTCGCCTTCGTACTGCTGATCTGATCGAGGACTGTGTAGGCCTTCTCAAGCAACCTGGGAATGGATGGCAGCTTGAGCACACCAGTGAATTGACCTGCGTCGACGATAAAGTCCAAAGCAACGGGCTGCTTCGAGTTGTGTGCGTGTTCCTTCCAGTTGTCGACCAGGGTAACACGCGACGGCTCCAGTCGGAAGCGAACAATATTGTTGTCTCCGATGAAAGCAGCGCCGCGTAAATCTCCTCCGTCGATCGACATCTTGAGGACAGTCGGGTCCGCCTCGAACGACGCCCCGGACCGCGACGAGCGACGAATTGTATGGAACTTTAACGACTCGGAAATGAGGTTGCCCGACACTTCGCCCTCGGCTTGAATCGTCGTCTCGCCGACCGTGAGATCGAGCTCCGTTTCCTCGCCGTCCGTAACCGTTCGCAGCACAACAGGTGCCAGCTTGAGGTGGGCGTTGGTGACTCCCAGTTTTGCGTTAAAATCGATGCTGCGGAACCTGATGAGAGCGGCGACTCCGAGCTTAGAGCGCACGGCAGTTGAGCAAGGAGCGCTCGTCTGCACCGTCGAAGTCGAGCCAGTGGACGTGATCTGCGCTGAGGTCGAGGTCATCGAGGAAGCGGGTGCGTCCTTGTTGCCGAGATCGAATTTCGGAGCATTCTCGATCCAGACGCACGCAAACTCGAACCAGGCACTGAGGGTCGCGAACTGCAGTTCGGCAGAAACGCCTGTGTCGACGACAATGGAGAGACCACGCTCCCTGTTGCCTTCCTCAGAGCACAATGCCAATGAGAAGGCCAAATCCTTGGCACCTCCCTCGACACACGGCTGGCCCATGGAAGCAAACTCGTGCGACAAGAAGACAGTGACACCCGAGACGGAGCCGGCGAGGGTCGTGGTGTGCTTCCCACCAAGCATGGTCGCAGCGACGAATCCACCCGACTCCCACTTCAGGTCAAGATACGCCGATGAGTCTTCCTTGCACGACAAGCGCAGCTCGGACTTGTCGATACGCAGAGTAACGCGAAGGCGGACCTTTCCAGTCGGAGCGTCTTCCACCTTGGCCATGGCCCGGTCGGTGCGCTCACCCACGTCAAGCAGCGGCATCTCGGGAGAGCGGTTCGCAATTTGAGATGGAGCAGGCGTCACCGTGCTAGACGGGTTTGTGGCTACGCGGCTCTTAGCCCTTCGCTCTATGCGGTTGACCAGTTCGATGAAGAACGGCAGAATCGTCGGTCGAAGCACGTTCTTGCTCTCGTGAACCGCTGCGTTGAACAAGAGGGTCCGCGCGCTCTCATCTGGGCTGGTTGGCCCCATGTACTCCATCCAGAGAGACACACTGGGGAGCACAACCAGGTCATGCTCAGGTTTCTTGTCCCTATGAATGCGCTTCGATTTGGCAACCGTAGGGCGGTGAAGCTCGACAAGACCGCTGTGGAATCGGAACGACATGCGCACAGTAACGGCCTTTGGCGTGGTCTGTACTTGGGCGTCGTACTTGCTCTGGAGACTCTCGGGCTGCGACTCGGCCGCCGAGTTCTTCCCCCACTCGGCGCGATATTCTCTCTCCAGCGCTTCGAGCTGACCCTTGCCAAGCTCATACAGGTCGACCAGTTTGCCAATGCCGTCGGCAATTTCTGGAGTGAGACACAGATGGAAGTCGGTTGCTTGACAGTGGGCGGTGACGAGCAGCGCAGAGGCATTGGAGGTTAACTGCGCCTCGGCTTCGATGTTCGGCAGCTTCATCTTGTTGTCCGTGCTGTGGAAGTCACCGACAAACTGCTCGCTCTGTCCCGGGTCGAAACTGTTCACAAACTGCAATTCCGTATTGAGCACCTTGAAACGGGCCGTCTCCGTGCGACTAGTCTTCAGATCCATCGCACGGATGGAGAACAGCAATGCGGGGACGTTGGTACTGTAACGCTTGGAGAGGTCGATGGTGGCATCCTCGTCGAGAGGAATAGCGATGCCGAATCCATGCACACCCAACTTCAGCACTCGGCTCTTCAGCCATGATTCAATTGCAGTTGCGTTGGACTCTTGCGTTCCGGTCGAGACGGTGGACATGTGGCTGCCTTCGATCTTCTTGAAAACCTTAGTCGCCTCCTCCTTGACATCGTCGACTTCATCCTTGTGCACTTCGCGGAGCACGGTGAGGTCGGCCGACCAGCTCTTGATGAGGTCGCTGACCTCGCTGAGCGCCGCGATGTGCATCACCGTGTGGACGGTCTTGAACTCGATGTTGAGCTTGGAGGGGTTGCCGGGGATCTCTTCGGCCGAGAAATCAAACACCATGTAAGCTGAGCGGGGTCCGTCGAGAGGCTTTGCAGCGGATCGCATGGCGTGGCGGTCCTTCTCTCTGAGGCGCCTCAAGCTTAGACCGACATGGTTGGCCTTCGCCATCCATTCCACGGACGGCCGGCCGACGTTTGACGCCGAAGCTTGGAGGTCGAGTGCTTCGAACATGAGTGTCGTTGGCACGTTTTCCGCTCGCAGGCCGACACGCACACCGGCAATGCTTGTCTGGGCGTCGAACGACCACTGCAGTGCAGGCTTGGGAGGAGCAGAATCAGGCGCTTTCAGGAAGCGGCTGGAACCGGACTTCGGGCTCTTGTCACCCCATGTGGCCTTCATTTCTCGGATGATCGACGTCACGTCTTTGCCAACCTTCTGGTGCAAGCTCAGGAGACGGTCCAGAACGATGGGCTTGATGATACCCGTGAACATGCCAATGCCGATGTTCATGCCGAGGTGCCTCTTGTCGTCTTCTTGGTGGTAGTTGCCCGTACCGGTGATCTCTGGAAGGCTGATGATGCTCGCCTGCTTATCCCTGATGCACTCGTATTGGCTGTAGCCGCCGATAGTCTGGGGGTCAATCCGACCGCCAAACTTGGACGACTCTGGCGTGCCTCGGAACGCGCCGTAGATGCGGTTCATGTCCCAGCGCAACCAGAGTTTTTCGGATCCTCTCAATTGAAGACGAGCCTTGCCAATAAAGCCATCAATCATCTTATCGCCGACTGGTTTGCGTTCGGGCTTCTTGCCAGACGGCGGCGGTGACGGGAGGCCGGGAGAATTGCTTGCTGCGAGCCGCGCCTTCTGTTTCTTGATCATTGCCTCGAACTTCTTCCAGTACGGTTCGTACAATGGCCAGAATCGCTTTCGCCAGTCCTGGACGAACTCGTAGAAGTGCTTCAGTTGCGGGCGGGAGTCGAAGTCGAGCGATTCTAACCCCACAAGGACACGTTGGAAGCTGAGGAGGTGATCCTGGCTGTTGAAGTTTGTCGCCATGCCGGCCTTGATGCCACGCAATGCCGCCGTGATGATCGGGACCGGGGCAGACTCGTCGCGCGGGTCATCCGGGCACTTAGCGAGCACGCTCTCAAGCGCTGCACAATTGAAGATGCAGGTGCGTTGCTCCAGTTCCAACGTGCAGTTGTTGGCGTTGCTGCAGCGCCGCTCGAGAGTGACTGCCACCTGGCCGTGATCTAGAGATGTTTCGCCGCGCATGCCACCAAACGTGAGACCTGATTTGAAGCGATCCAAGTGCACGTCAATCACAACAGTCGACGCGCCTTCCACAGCCTCGACAACCTTGAGCTCCTTAATCTCCTTCCGATGGGCGTCGATGTGGCGGATGATGGCCTCATTGGCCGCAAACGAGCTATCTTTGAGATCGAACTCGATGTTGCGGACACTAATGACACTGCGGACATTGGACAAGGGTAGGTTCTCCACATATGTCTTGAGGTTTGCGTAAGCCACAGAAGCGGCCTCAATCTTGATCATACTCCAGGCGATGTTGTCGGTCTGCAATTGTCGGCCGTAATGCCGGACCTCGCCCCTCTCGAGACGGACATAGACGCCAATTTGATTTGGAGTCGGAGGCGGGGCGCACCCAGCGGCCTGTAAGTCCTTACTGAGTACCTTGGTCAGGAACGGAATGTTTGCGACAGTCTCGACGGTCTGACCGAATCCATCGTCCACCTTGGCCAGGTCCATAACGATGGTCTTGGCCATGCTGGGACCGCTGGGCCGGATGACGTTTGGCTGGAACTGGCCCTGCTGATCCATTTGACGCATCCAGTACCGCAAGCGCTGGATCGCGCCCCAGCCGACGTCGCGACGAATGTTACGCTGGTCGTCCAAGTGCAAACCGTACGAGGCCTCATACATGAATGAAGGGAGTGACAACGAGGTGCTGGTCGTGATTGCCTGCGTCAAGATGTCGTAAAGGAGAGCTTCAGCGGTGTTCTTCTCGGGCGACTTTGGCAAGCTCTTGATCACTGGCATCCAGATGTCCAGGATGTTAGATATGACAGGCACGCCGGGAGTTGCGGAATGAACCTCCAAAGCGGTGACTTTGGATTGGATTGTGAGGCTCTCCGGCTCCTGATGTACTGTCACACCGAGATCCAGTGCCCTCGCACAAGTATAAGGCAAGAGCTTGTTGTGCTTGGGCTCGGCCGGCACCGGAACGTCGGGAATGTCACTCAAGGCCAGGCTTCCGGCGGGGGCACCGTTCCGGTAAGCTGTCAAGGTGAGGGCTCCCACTCCGACGGTCGCTTCCAGGATAGACTTTGTGGAGTCGACAATGGGTGTGGACAAGACTCGCGAGCTCGAGCTGTTAATGGAAACTCTGGTGACCGAGTCCGGGTGACTGTAGCTTGGTCCGGCGACAAGGCGAAGCTCGGCCAGAGGGGCGTTAATGACGAACAGCTTGGGATTGCGGGGAAGGCCATTCTTGAGCAAAGAATCAACTTGATACGTTAGAAGCTGATCGAGCTGAACCTCTGGCCGGGGCGAGGTAGCCTGTAGGCCCACAGCGAGGTACGCCGCAGCCTCAATGGTGGCAGGGGTGATCTCGACCGTGGTCTTCATGAGCGAGATGCGCTGCACTGCGCCTTCAGTGATGCACAGAGGTTCAAACAAATCTTGCGGCTCCTGAACAAAGGGCGAGGGGGTCGATGGCTCGTGGGCAAACAAGCGTCGGGCTCGCTCGTGGATCTTCTTGAACGTGAGCAGCTTGTTCTCCAGGATGGTCGTGGGGTCTACGTCCTCTTCCAAGCTAGTGTTGCTCGAGGAAGCGGAAGACGAGCTGAAAGACGAGCAGGTATCCGACTCATCGCCGATGGATGAGTTGCCGCCGTGGTACAAAGACTCCACTTCAGCGGCACGAGCCCGAGACATTGCCCTCCGGCGCCGGGACACTCGGGGTATAGCTTGATCGTCAATTTCGTCGACCTCGCCAGCGGAGGACGAATCGTCGTTGGCCTCCTCATAAGTGTACAACGAAGTCTCATCGTCCCAGGAGGGCTCCATTGGCCGCGGACGAGGAACGTAGATCTCGTTCTCGTGGCGCCCGTAGGCGGGGTCGTCCTTCTCGCCGTAAAGGTATGGGACGCGTTTGGTCGCCGCATCTTGCTCACGCAGAAATTCTTGCTGCTTCTCTGCGTCTTCCTTCCAACCTGGCGGGACCTTGTACGTGTCCATGGCGAGGCCGGTAGACACGGACCCAACAGGTTGCCAGGTCTTGTGGCCGTCTCGCTTGCGCAGAACGTGAATGCTGGCACATGGTACGCCGAGTCCCTGAACAGAGCGGCATGCCTGGGACGCAACACTGCTTGTGTCAATGAACACACCCTGAGGGAGCTCAATGGCGACACCCGCTGTGCCCGCAGTCAAGAGCGCTGTGACTCGTTGGATTGAGAGTTTGACAAAGGTCGCGTCCGGCGGCGTCTTGGCAATATAAACCGCTGAAGGGGCGTTGTCGCGGTCGGTGTAGTTATAACCAACCGCGGAGCCCACAGCCGCTAGAGTGTCCTTGAACTCTGGGGAGAGGAACGCTGAGATGTGTCCGATCGACAATTCCCACAGGCATACGTATGTAGTACCCTTGGGCTGCGGCCCAAAGAGACGGTTCGCCTTAATGTCGAGTCCCTCCACAAATACGACATCTTGATCCCTTGCCAGAGGCGGCACCCCACTGAGGTGGCATTGCTCGAGGTCGTTGCAGGCAACCACATACGTTGGGGCCAAGTCGACCGACATATCCATCTGATACTCGTTGTTGCGGAGGTCGAGCTGGAGTTGCGGCACCGGGATGACGATGCCCTTGTCACAACCGTAAATCTCGTCCGACATGACCACCATGGAGTCACGTACGTTGACAGTGAGATTGACGGCAAACGAGTCCGACCGCCCTGGCCTGTACTTCTCAACGATGGGATCACCAACCGCGTCGGGGCTGTGGTCAAACTTCTCCAGAAACTCCTGCATGGTCGAGAACTGGGTGAAGGTGCCGAAATAGTTGTCCTTGACACAGAAGATGCGCCGCACAACCCACCCTAGAGCCTTGAAGGCGACATTCTCAGCGTCGAGGGTCAGCTTCAGTTTCTCCTGGTGGTCTGGGGAGTGCGTCGCATAGTACCGATACGACCCGCTGACGGTGATATCGCCAACACGGCCTACCTCGAGCGAAGGCTCGGGGTTGAAGGTGCGATGCGTATCCCAGGACGGAAGGCGAACATCGACGAGGACATCCTTGGCATCGACAGTAAACGGCACGGACGAAAACTCGGGACGATACCGTGTCGATGCCACCGCTGCATAGGTCTCGATGCGGGGTCCATGGATGTCAAGGAAAGCTATGGTCAGTCGAGTCTCCACGAACGGGTGACGTACCATTAGAATCCATGGAACGGGGCGCATCGACGATGTTGAAGTCATTGATAAAGAGGTGAACCTTGTAGTTGATCAACGAGACATGGAAGCTGTAGTGCATGGGCACAAAATGGTGGAAATCGCTTGGAGGGCCCGAACTCCAATCCTTGGCAAGGTCGGTGAAGAGGTTGATGTGCTCGCGCATGAGGAGGAGGTCGGGTGTATCCAGAGTCAGGTCTATTCCCCAGTTCCTCTGAGCGTTCCAATTCAGCGGCACGGGCATCGTGATTTTGAGCTCATAGTCAGCTAAGCGTCTATTCCCGGTCTTACGTTGCATGTTCGAGCCACAGCGAAAGACTGTAAGTTCACGCTGGAGGCAATGTCCAGCTCATCCAGGTAGAGAGCGATATACGAGTGATAGCCTTCCTTGGTCGCGATTTGTCCTTGATCGTAGTGGATGACAGAGTTGGCACCAACGACAACATCGAGCCATCCATACTTGCGCTCAACGTCGCCGTGGGCACCGTCGTACATCCAATCCTTTGACGGCTCTCGCGTAGGAATCCTCAGAGTCATTTTCTCTTTCATCGCGATTTTGACGACCATTGAGATGGGTACTCGTGACTCGCCGGGACTCAGACGCGCTTTCGGTTCCGTGTCGAAGAAGATAGAGGGCGTGAACGCCTTCAACAGGGCGTCTCGCTGCCTGTCCGTCCACGGACCATAGTTGATCGAGCCGCCATGAATGGCTAGATCAATCCCATATTCCGGAGGGAGATCCACATTTCCGATGTTATCCATGGGATCTATCCGCACAGCCTCAGAGACTTTCGGCGCTGGACCCCCGACATCGTAATAGTAGCTGAGGTCGAACAGACTCGTGGTCAACAGCGTCGTGACCTTTGCATATTGCCGCTCCTCGCGCGTGACCTTCACAACGGGCACCCCGTCGTCCTCGAGGCGATACCGCGCCAGACCTTTCCATTGGCCAGTTGGCTGCTGAACCGCGATCGGGCGGGCCGCGAACCTGGAGTCCAGCAAGGCGGGGAACTTCTTGAGAAGCCCTCGGAAACCCGATCGAGATGCGACCTCTGAAGGAGGCTCTTCCTTGATCGCCGAGTCCTGCTCCAGCAAGTCGTCATACACGCGTTTGCCATGCGCAAGTAGGGTGCCGGTGTAGTCGTGGTTTGTGCGCATCAGAATGTTCATCTCTTGCAAGTGGAAGTTGAAGCTGAGCCGGTACCAGTCGTACGGCGAGCGAGGCTCCGACATTTCGATAGTGCCGTTGGCATGCTTAGTGTCAAGAATGACGACCATTGGCGTAGCATCGCTGCCGAGTGTCACGGAGCCCTGGTGCACTCGCACTTCAATCGGAAGCACAGACGCCGCCCAACTCAGTCCGGCGCCGAAGGCTCGCGACATGAAACCCTCGTTGGCTGCGTCGGAGTCCTTCAACTGCGGCTCTTCTGCATGTCAGCTTCCGCAATGCACTAGAGTATCTTACCCGCAGTCGTAGCTGTTCCTTCCGTTGTCGTTTCTTCCTTCCTCCGGGACGACGAGTTTGTGGTCTCCCGGGACATGGGCGTCTTCCGCTGGCGGAGGCCTTCGGTCTCGCCACCGACTGTGAACGTCACACCATCGCTCCCCTCATGCTTGCGCATGCGCTCCACAATGTTCTCGTACGCGGGGGTTCGGTTGTAGACAAAGAGTTCGAAACCTTCGAGGTTGATCACGATGCGGCATGGAAGTTTACCTGTATGTTAGCAATCATGAGGCCTTGCGGACGGACCTCGCTTCGCATTATTATCGGACGAGTCGCCTTGTCGCACGCGGAAGATCCAGAAGCGAAAGGTAAGGTTACCATCAACGACGTGGCCTGAAAGATTGCTCGAACGATAGTCCACATTGCGGAAGGCGATGCGTCCTGCCAGCGGGGATATCTGCAGTGACCCGATGTCGAGGTAGGCGTTATAGGTGTTCCATATTCCCAGACGAATGATGGCGCCCAGTGTTAAGCCCAGAATACGGTTCCAGTAGAAGAGGAAGGCGGTTGTGACGATGACAATGACGACTAACTCGACGATGAACAGCCAGTTAACCGGGCTGTTCAAGACGGTCATGTTGAGCTAGCGAGAACCGGGGCCGTCGGAGGAGAGGCGAAAGGACGTGATTGCGGTCAAAGAGGAAGAATGAGAATCATGACGGTGTATGAGACGGTGCGAGGGATTGTGTGCCGGAGTGGGAAGAAGCAATCTTGATATGTCTAGCCGAAGTGCGAAGTGTCGCAGATGACACCAGCCCGATTGCCGTAGATGGTGTCAGTGCTGGTCGCACTCTGGAGTAGTGGTGGTGGTGGTGGTGGTGGCGGCTAGGCGGCTCATAACATCACGCGGCTCAGGTCCCCGATTCAGCGTCCCTGACGCGGCACTATTTTTTCCAGCGTTCCGATCAACGTCCTCCATCGCTACCCAGCATGTCATTTCAAGCATTTCATTCATAACGTCTACAGCACCAATTACGGTACACTAATGAGAAAGTATGATGGTTTGTGAGGTTGGCGCAAGCTGTGCAAAATGCAAGTCTATGGGATGGAACAAAACAAAATGATAGATGGCCGGCATACTCCTGGCGACTTAGATGTCGGTGAGGTGGAGTGTGGCATCGCGGCCAGCCATCCCGCTACTCTAACAGCTGGCGCTGCCGGCTGCTGCCCGGCCGCTCGAACGAACTCCTTAGGCGACACCCTTGGTGGACGACTTGGAGAGAAGCTGGGCCTTCTCGATCTGGGCCTGCGAGCGCTTGGCGAGGCCGCGCTTGTAGTCGACGATCGAGATGTCCTGCTTCGTGAGGTTCGTGATCGTGTTGTCCTTGACCTCCCAGAGGTCCTGAGCGACCTGAGAAATGAGACGGAAGTCGTGGGACACGATGACGACACCTCCCTCGAACTCGTTGATAGCCTTGGCAAGGGCGTCGATGGAAGCCATGTCGAGGTGGTTGGTCGGCTCGTCAAGAAGAAGAACGTGGGGGTGCTCGAGGGCGATGTCGGCGAAACAGACACGGTTTCGGAGACCGTCGGAGAGCTGGCTGATGGGGTTGGTCTGGTGGGAGCCGGTAAGACCGAAGCGACCGACCTGCTGGCGCCAGAACTGAATCTCCTTCTCGGGGAACTTGTCCTTGTAGCGCGACTGAAGGAACTCGACAGGCGATTTGTCGTACGGCAGCTGGTCGGCGGAGTGCTGGCTGTACTTGGCGAGCTTGAGCTGACCGTGACGCTGGACGGTACCCTCGCACGGGTTCAGGGCGCCGGTGATGAGGTTGAGAAGAGTAGACTTTCCAGTACCGTTGTCACCGACAATAGCGATACGCGAGTCCATGTCGATACCGAAGTTGAGGTCACGGTACAGGTAGTCCTCCTTCTTGCCGGAGTACGAGAACGCGACGTCGGAGAAAGCGATGATGGGAGGAGGAAGCTTCTTGATGTCCTCGAAGTTGAAACGGAGAGGCTTACCAGCCTCAACCTTCTCGACAAGACCAGCAGCCTCCATCTTGTCGATAATCTTCTGCTTAGACTTGGCCTGCTTGACAAGGTTCGCGTAGGTACCGGCGGAAGCGATGAACTTCTTGATGTGCGCGATTTCCTCCTGCTGCTTGTTGTAGGCCTTCATCTGGTTGATCTCGTTGTCGGCCTTGGTACGGAGGTAGGTCGAGTAGTTACCACCGTAGTAAATGAGCTTCTTCTTGGGAGTCAGGTCCATCATGTTGGTACAGACGGTGTCCATGAAGTCGGCCGAGTGGGAGGTGAGGATGAGGATGTGGTTGTAGGTGGCGAGGTAAGCCTCAAGCCAGACGACGGCACCGAGGTCCAAGTGCGAAGTGGGCTCGTCGAGGAGAAGAACGTGGGGCTTGACGAAGAGCGCACGGGCAAGGGCGACACGCATACGCCAACCACCAGACATGTCCTTGGTGGGCTTCTTCATCATGTCCTGCTTGAAACCGAGACCGGAGAGAATGGCACCAGCCTTGGCCTCGAAAGTCGACGGGTCCATCTCCTCGAGCTCCTCGTAAATCATCTCAAGACCGACCTCGTCAACCTCGTCGGCGATGGCCATCTCCTCAGCCATCTTCTCAAGACGGGCAACCTTCTCCTTGGCGGAGTTAACGATGTAGTCAAGAGCGTTGATGTCGGAGGGCTCAGCGGCACCGGAAACGAGGTAGATGTCGATGTGCTCGGGGATCTCAACATCACGCTCAGCGATGGACTGAAGGAAGGTCGACTTGCCGGATCCGTTCTCACCAAGGAGACCGTAACGGTTTCCGTAGTTGAGCGAGATCTCGGCACCCTCGATAAGGAGACGACCGTGGAACGAGAGGGTGTACTGGTCGATCTTGATGTCACGAGACTGAGGGTCGGAGACGAGGACACCGTTCTGAATCACAGTTAGCCATATTGGGTTCTTAGTAACTCTCGATATCACTTACAGCACTGCGGTCAGTGGCGAGGTTGAGCTTGCGCATCTGGGCCTGAGCGTCGCTCAGGTCAGCGAACGAGCCGTTGGCGCTGATAGACGGGGTACCAGCGGCAGTGGAAGGGGCGGGAGTCGACTTGGCGGATCCTCCCTTGCTGGCAGCCTTAGCGGCCTTGGCGGCGAGACGCTTCTCCTTGGAGGCGGAAGGCATGTTGATTATACGCGGGGGTTGAGATGGGAGGGGAGGCGGAAGAGATGTATGATGCCGATATCAAATCGACTAGTGGCGGTCCTGACTGTGTGCAGCGGCCGCTTTTTGTCCTCGAAGCGCGAGAGTAGTGTACTAGAAGGACCAGGTGTTCTGTCAAGCTGGTCGCTTTTTGAGAGAGTTGGCGATGGCGAAGAGTCCTGCTTCGGTATAGACGACAAGACAATGGACCGCCGACAGACACGCCGTAGAGTTAAAAGTTAAGGCTTGTTTCCTCCGCCCACTTAACAATTTTGCCCTTGAAGCCGCTCACGTGACGTCACTCGGAAGAAAGTGGCCGAAGCCAAGGCCGCCTGACCGATGCTGATCCCCATCACAACTCCGATGAGCGGAGACCCTGCGGAATGTAGATGTCGGCGGCCTCTTGGAACGCGGCGGCGGGGCACTGGAAAGCGGCGATGTGTGACAAGACAATGCATTTGTTGGTACATATGAATTCTATTCTCGTTCTCTCTCTCTCTGCAGCTTCGCGACGACACCCGCAAGCCTCCTGTAGTCTCTCAACAATGCTGCCACTTCTCCAACTCTGAGCTCGCCCGGGTCGCAGACCATCCAACGCTCGACGGGCGGTTCGAAATCTTCCCCTTCGCTCGCAGGTGCTCCTTCATCGAGACTCGTCATGATGCTCGGTCGCCTTGCCTGGCGCGCAGTCAATGCAGAGAAGAAGCCACCCTTGTCTTTCGCTTCGGCGAGGTTTTCCGAGCTTGACAGCCGACCGAAGGAGGCGAAGCGGCTCTTCTCTCCCTTCTGCCCCTTCTCCTTGGGACCAGTCGAGGACTTGAGCTCGGACTTTGAGTCTGTACGCGAAGCAGGACCGGGCCGTGTGTCAGAGCGCGTGGAGCGGGTCGAGCGGGCGTCCGAGTGGGAGCGCGAACGCCCTAAGGACGCTCCGAGTAGGTTCTCCCCTTCCTCGACAGGCGAGCCGTACACCTGGGCAGGCGTCTCGGGGCGCGATGAGGCGGGAACGTCGACTAACTCCTTGCCACCAACCAGATCTTCCTCTGCACCAGCTTGCGACCTTGTCCGCGCAGCGGCTGTGCTGGCAGCAGCAGCAATGTTTGCGACACTCGCCGTGACGCTCGCAAGACTAAAGGTGCTTGCCCCACGCGGTCTTCCGGGCTGGGTGGGGCTCGTTGGTGATTGTGGTTGCGCTCCAGCGCCTGGCGGGGCGAGGTGGTCCGGACTCATGAAACCACGCATTGCACTCCATCCGCTGTCGGCGATGCCGCTCAAAACCTTGTTTGCGCTGCCGACAGCCAGCTCGCCCACAGCGAATACGCGGCTCTTCAGGCGGGTGCTCGCCGATGCCACGTCCGGGTCCATCTCTCCAAGTCCAATGGGGGTCAGATCCGCGACGCTTAACACACGGCTCGAGTAGCTGCCTAAACCCAGCTCGGCGAGTGAAACGTGTTCAAGGAATTCAACGACGGCCGTGAGGTTGACGATCGCGTAGGACTGGTCGCCGCGAAGAAGGATACTCGAGCGATAGCGCCGCACGTACATCAGCTGCGAGGCCAGGTGAGCGGGATTAGACTTGACGACCGAGTAGATGATGAGTGGGAGAATGAGGTCGGCACCGCTGGCGGTTGTACCCGTGTCATCTTCCGGACGCGTCTCTTGCTGTGCTTCGGATGTCTCTTCTGACATGGGCGTAGCATCTTTGCTCGTTTCACCCCTGTCCTCTGAAGCGTCCTCGTCCGCATTCAGGTCAACCGACGCAGGCTCAGGTTTTGTGTCGGCTTTGATTTCCGATAACTCGGCTGTTTCACCTGGGCCAGGAGGCTGGTAAGGTTCTCCCTCGGGGCGCAGCTTGACTGGAGGAAGTTTGGCGAGTCCATCAACTACCAACTTGTGGGCGGCGACGAGCACGTCCACCTTGTCTTTCGGCTTCAAGCAGTGCGGCGCGTTCAGCTTCTGCAATTCCGCACCAACTTGTTCAACAATTCCGTCGAGGCCAGCAGCAAGCTTCCCATCGTCTCCGGGAGGACGAGTGATAAGGCCAAGGTGGTCGAGTGTCAGCTCAGCCATGTTCAGGCCGGCTATCCGAGAGGCTAACGCCTCATCGTGATTTGCGTCGTCGGAAGACAAGGGGGAGAAAATGCGGTTGTAGAGCATCGAGCACACAAGGGCTTCGACTCTCTCCGTGCCCGCACTCGCTTCAGTGTCATCTTCCTCCTCATCTAAGCTGCGCCCGCTGCGCGTCGTGTCGACAGATCGGCGCGGGCGGTAATGCTTAATGAGGTCGTCGTAGATTGCCTCCATAAAGTCTTGTAGCCGCTCGCCACACAATGCCGGGTCGCTAAAGTCCAGGGGAATCGCACCATCTGCGTCGCTGTAACCCCGGTGGTGACTCTTTAGAAGCGCCTGGTCCACAGTGCTTCCAGCGATCGGGCAGATGCTTGACATAACAAGCTTCACCACCTTGTCAGCCACACGATCCGGAAGACCCTCCAGACCCTTCTTTACAGTCGAGCGGACGGCCTTTACGAGGTGCTTGTGGACTTCCGCGTAGCGAACGGGCTTGTCGACCATGTATGCCGTCACAGAATAACCTTCGGAATCATCCTCCAACGACATGACGCTCGGTCGGGGACTCGGTACACGAGACGGGGGTGTTGGACTTGTCGCTCTCTCGGGGCTGAGTGATCGTCCCTGCATCGGAGTGCCGGATCCACTCGATCCGAACAGAGACATAAATCCCATGCGACGACCAGGAACATCTCGTCGCTCGGACTGATGCTGTTTGCCCAGCGGCGGAAATGGCAGAGACGATGGCTCGGACGAGACTGTGAAACCCGGAAATTCGAGCGCCTCGGACGTCTCGGTCGGTCGGAAGGTCGAGAGCATGGCCGTGCGCTTCTCGTCGTCCCGCAGGGCAGCCAGAAGTGGAGAGCCGGGCGCTGTACTCTCGAACGAGAGCACCGTGCCGCGCAGCGTTCCGATGAGGCCGGAGAGGGTGATGACGACGGCACCATCTCCAGAGGGCGGTGCGATAAAGCCGATGTGATCCCGGAGGGTCTGCGGCGTCATAGGCAGAGAGCTCGCTGCGGTCTCGGGCAGAAGCAGGACCGCTTTGTTCGATGTGAGGACCTTCAGTAGCTCAGCCCAGTCGCCAGCATCGCGCGCTCGCGTTCCCTTGTCGTAGATGGCCTCGATCATGCCCATGCCCATGCTTCCGTTCTTCAATCCGAGTCGCTGTGCGGCTGCTTTGAGAGACTGAAGCTGTAACTTGCCGGCGGCGGTGTCTGCTTCACCGGCGAAGCTTGGCGCAGGTGCCGCAGTCGTGGTGGCAGGCGATGGCTGGAGAGTTGGGCTCGGGGCAGCGTTGGGCCACTGACTGTTTCTCTGCCTGGGTTTGTAAGGAAGTGAACCGTCGGCGGCTGCAGCAGGCTCATCCTTGAGGTCCTTGTCCTTGGTGTCGTCCGTACCGAGAAGGGGATGTGCGATGGGCTCGGACGTAACGCGATTGACGCCGCCGCTGCGGGTCCGTCCGAGCGAGAGCGTCGAGAAGAGGCCCTTCTGCTCGGACATACTGAGAGAAGAGAGGGAGGGGTGGGTGTTGTTCGCGGCCGGAGCGAGTTTGTGTCGTTCGTGAAGGTGTGTCCGGATGAGGAAGCTGAAGTGGAGGCTGAGGGACGACGCAGTGCGCGCAGCAACGAGAGACCAGTGGATGGACCGATCTCGTGAGTGACGTGACCTGAGCCCAGGCACGTACACTCCCAGGGTGGCAATCGTGCCTGACCGATAGCAGTAGCTTGTGTATCGGCTCCCCCCCTCTTTGGTTGGTCGGCTACACCCAGCAGTCGCCAACTGGAACCGTCCCCACTCCTTCCTCTTCGCAATCTTCAACTCTCCGGCCAGTATTCGAGATGGCCGCCCCTCTATACGTGACCCAGTCCGGTCGTCTTTTCCACGCCGGTCTCATCCTCATCGTCACCGTCGGACTTCCGGCCAGAGGAAAGACTCATATCAGTCGAGCTCTCGAAAGGTACGTCAGCTCCTGCCTCCACTCCGTTCGCTTCTTCGCCGAATCCCGCTTACAGATTAGGTATCTACGATGGATGGGCGTTAAGACTACCGTCAAGAGTCTCGGTGAGTGGCCACTGCTCTCGGGAACCCCGGCTTCGCAAGCTCTTCGAAGTTTCTATTCCCATAACCTCCGCTAAAGGATGGGCCCCCGAAGCAGCCTGTAGTGAACTCTGTGACTGACCGATTTCAGGCGACTACAGACGCCGAGTGCTGGGAGGAGCGAAGCACATTCCTAAGTGAGTCTCAAGCTGCGCATGTCATGGCGCTACCTCCAAATCTGCATACGAGTATCTGACGATCGCAGGGATTACTACCTCCTGAACGGTCCGGTCAGCGGGGAGACGACAGCGCTGCGCGATAAGATCCGAGTAGAGCTTGAAGATCAGATTTGGAAGTTCTTCACGGAGGAAGGAGGACAAGTGTGCATCTACGATGCGAACAACTCCACCAAGGAGGCGAGAAAGCAGGTTTCGGAAACGTTCGGATCCAAGGGTGTTCACGTAATCTATCTCGAATCTTTGTGCGACAAGGATGAAATCATCACGGCCAACATTCGCGGCGTCAAGCTCTCTTCACCCGATTACAAGGGTTGGGACCCCGAGCGTGCGGTCGCAGACTACTGGGCGCGAATCAAGGATCAAGAGAAGCACTACGATACCGTTACCGCCGATGAGGGACCGTTCATCAAGATTACGAACGTTGGGGAGCGGATCGAAGTCAACCGCATCGAGGGATACTTGCAGACTCGATGCTGCTTCTTCCTGATGAACATCCACACAAAGCCGCGCACAATCTACTTCGCAAGGGTAAGAGGCGCATCGTTGTCCGAAACTGACGCGCAGTCCGGCCAGTCTCTGATTGAACACTCCTACAAGGCCGACTCTGATTTGTCACCAGCGGGATGGGAGTACGCGGAGCGGTTGAAGGCGGCGGTTAGCGCCCGTCGTCGGGCCGTGCGCGAAGAGCGTAAGGCTCGTGGAGAGCCGGTCGACGACAATAACCTCGTGGTTTGGACATCTGCGAGACGGCGCGCGCATCACACTGCGTGGCCGTTCGTACATGCTGGCTACAAGGTTGTGCAGAAGCCAATTATGGGAGAGATCAATCCAGGGGTGTGGGACGGTCTCTCTGCGCAGGAGGCCATGGACAGGTACCCGGATGAATGGGAGCGCTTCCTGGCCGATCCGTATGCCCACCGTGCACCTCGTGCCGAGTCCTACCACGACTTGTCCGTCCGCCTCGAACCTATCATTTTCGAGCTGGAGCGTTGTCAAGACGATCTCCTCATCATCGGCCATGCGTCCGTCATCCGCTGCCTGCTGGCATACCTGGTCGGTCTTCCCCCGAACGAGGTGCCCGCCATCGAGATGGCTCGTGGGGACCTTATCGAGGTCACTCCCGCCAGTTACGGCGTCGTTTCGCGCGCCTTCCACTTCTGGTCGGGCGAGGGCCGTGGTGACTCTGAGGGCAAGAACCTGTACGAGAACTTTGCCGAGAGCGTGTCAAGTGGTGCCGCTGGCATCGGTATGGCCATGTTCTCGAACGAGACAGAGAACATGGAGCGTGAAGCCGAGGCCGAGGAAGCCAAGGACAAGGAGGCCAAGGCCGAAGTTGTTCGCGCCAAGCTCAAGGAGCGCCTGCAGCGTGGCGGCGAAGGCACGATGAGTGTGCCTCACAACCGTGGCGGCGGAACGCCGGAAGAGCCCCCAAGTGCTCCGGGTGCGCCTCAGCGCAAGATGAGCATCCTCGAGATCTGATCGAGAATAACCGTGTAAATAATTGTAGTCTCCCAAGTCAAAGCAGAACCCATTCGCTCTGCCCCTTCCTGTCCTAAGTTATAGTCTCATTACATGCAGCGACATTGTACAAGCCCAATAGCATAGCGTTACTCCTCCTGCGTGTCCGTCCCAGCGGGAGTCGCGTCTCCGTTCGCCTTCTTCCTCCTCTTGTTGTGCCTCTGGTGGCTCTCGGGCACGAACGTGGAGGGGATCACCCTCGTAGCGGCGAGGAGGTATCCTCCCGCTGCGCTCGTCGTCATCATAGGGTGCGTTCGGCCAGGAAGAACCTGGTACGTCCTCATCCAGCTCTCAGTCATATTGGTGGCGAGGTAGTTGGGGTCCTTGCGGGTGTAGGCGAGGGTCTCAGCAACGACCTGCTGGTAAGGGGAGTACACGACGAGGTTTCCCGCTCCGGCAATGTACGGCGTGAGCTTCTTGACGACAGAGACGGGGCTGAGGTCGGTCGCGAGAATGGCCGCGTCCCAGTTTCCGGAATGGAGTTCGTTCTGGCTCGCGGTGAGCTCGGCGACCTGCGCGTTGTGCCTGCGCACACGCGCTTGCGTCTTGCCCGCGGCAATGGCCGGCATTCCATCCTCCGTCGGCAGGGGCGGACGCTCGTACCCGGGCTCGGCCTCCATCCAGTTCAGCCACTTAATGCACGCAAGCTCCTGCTCGCTGAAGTTCATCGTGTTCAGCACACCCCACGCCGGCGGGCTGTCCGCATCCGTGAACACCATGATACGACCAGTGCATCCCATGCGCTCCGCAATGGCGGCGGTCACGAGACCGCCCGTGTCGTCCACGACGAGGTAGCGGCCGCCCGGACGAACGTTGGCGGCGACGAGGAGCTGGCTCAGCGTGTCCTCGCGAAGATAGGCGATCGCCTGCGGGTTGCGCTCGGCGTAGTGGTTGACGATGTTGCGCGTGCTAGGGGCGAGCGGGTGCACCGTCTGCGAGTACTTCTTCTCCTTACGCTTGCGCCACTTCTCCTTGGAGAAGTCGGTCTTGAGCTCGAACTGGTCGTGGCGCTCCATCTGCCTCTTGATCATCTCCTCAGCGCTCACACCCTGGGCCTTGAGCTCGGCAATCTCCTCCTGGCTCATGAGCAGGCCCTCGCGCGCCTCCTGGTCCTCGATGAACTCGTTCGTCTCCCGGATGTCGTCAACGATCGCGTCCAAAACCGTACGCTGCTTCTGGGGCCGCAGGACGTGCTTCCATCCAGGGTTGTCCTTCAGCGGCACAGCCGACTTCTTCCCCTTCTTCCCCCTGAACTCGGGCTCGGGCGTCGCCGATCCGGACAGCGGCATCTCTCCCGGAGCAAGTACGATCTCATACGTGATGTCGTACGGCCTTCCGATCAGCTCGCGTGCAGGGAACGCGCCAAACTTTCCGAGCTGAAGAAGTCTGCTGTCAGTTTCAGCCTGGACAGCGGCTAACTTACCCATCCTTCGTGACCACAACAGACTTGATGGTGTCGCTGGGCAGGCGCAGAAGCACGTTGTCACCTTCCTTGATGACGGTGAGACGGCGGTGAATCACGTCCTCAATGGGCTCCTGGGGTTCAAGGTCCTTCTTGCGGCGGTGTTGCGGCGCCGACGTTGAGCCTTCGCCGTCTCCAACCGCAGTCGACGATGAAGCCTCGCCAGCAGCGGAAGCGGAGGCGGAGCCCTCGGCGGCAGGAGCCGCAACAGCCTCGGTGCCGGGAGCTGCGTCGACGGAAGCCACGGGTGCGGCGTCGACAGCCATGGGTTCGGATTCGGCCATGATGTTGAACAAAGTTGTACAGTTGGTTCGTGCAGCACCTTTGTTGAGCTCCTTGGCACCCAGCTTGCCTCATGGCTGCTTCAGAAATCTCGAGTGGAGGTCAAGTCACGTGTGTTGGTTGACGGAACCATTTGGCGGCTCGTTGACGTAGGGGAAGCGCGAGATTCTGCAACATTCAGTCGGCATCCCAGGCGTGAAGTTCACGTCTTAGAACCTCGAGGCAATCCATTAGCAAACATGGTGAGTGAAGCTTCCAAGGAAGAACTGCTCCGTGTGTTCTTAGAAGCTCATGACAGGCGGCAAACATCTCGATCCAGTCGAGCGGACTGAAGGATGTGATGAAGATGGAGCGCATTGGTATGTTTATACACCGCGGCAGCCACTGACGAGCAGGCGCCCACTCGCACATTCACGGTCTCGGCCTCGACGCTAACCTCGAGCCGCGCGCGAACTCGCAGGGAATGATCGGACAGGGAAAGGCCCGCAAGGGTGCCGGTGTCATTCTCAAGATGGTGCAGGACGGCCGCATTGCCGGTCGCTCTATTCTGATCGCCGGGCCGCCGAGCACGGGCAAGACTGCTATTGCCATGGGCATGGCGCAGACTCTCGGATCGGACGTGCCGTTTGTCAACCTGACCGCGTCGGAGGTCTTCTCTCTTGAGGTGAGCTATCGTTGCTGGAGTTCTAGCTGACAGGCAGATGTCCAAGACCGAGGCGTTGACCCAGGCTTTCCGCCGCGCCATCGGTGTGCGCATCAAGGAAGAGACCGAGCTCATCGAGGGAGAAGTTGTGGAGATTCAGGTCGACCGCAGTGTGACCGGTGCCACCAAGACGGGACGCCTCACGCTCAAGACGACGGACATGGAGACCGTCTACGACCTCGGTTCGAAGATGATCGACCAGCTTCAGAAGGAGAAGGTTCTCGCCGGCGATGTCATCAGCATCGACAAGGCGAGCGGACGGATATCCAAGCTTGGCCGGTCGTTTGGCCGCGCCAAGGACTACGATGCTATGGGTGCCGACGTGAGTTGACCACGGCTTGCATATGAACTGACATTAGACCCGCTTCGTCGCGTGCCCCGACGGGGAGCTGCAGACCCGCAAGGAGGTTGTTCACACCGTGTCGCTGCACGAGATCGATGTCATCAACTCGCGAACGCAGGGCTTCCTTGCTCTCTTCGCCGGCGACACGGGAGAGATCAAGCCCGAGCTGCGCGACCAGATCAACGCCAAGGTCGCCGAGTGGCGCGAGGAAGGCAAGGCTGAAATTGTTCCCGGTGTCCTTTTCATTGACGAGGTGCACATGCTGGACATCGAGTGCTTCTCCTTCCTGAACCGCGCTCTTGAGAGCGACCTCGCCCCGCTGGTCGTCATGGCCTCAAACCGTGGCATCTCCCGCATCAGGGGAACAAAGTACAAGAGCCCGCACGGTATCCCCGCCGACCTGCTCGACCGCATGCTCATCATCTCGACCACCAAGTACTCGGAGGAGGAGATCAAGGAGATTGTTAAGATCCGTGCCGACGAGGAGGACGTCAAGGTGCACCCGGATGCGCTCGAGCTGCTCGCCACGATGGGCGGACAGACGTCGCTCCGGTACGCCCTGAACCTTATTGCGCCCTCATCGCTTATCGCGACGCGGCGTAAGAGCCCCCAGATCGAGGTTGATGACATCCGTCTCGCGTACAAGTACTTCCTCGACGTCGACCGCAGTGCCGCCTACGCCAAGGAGACGAGCGGAATGCTCTTCGGTGAGGAGGAGGTCGTCCTCGTTGATGCGGACAAGGCTGAGGCCCAGCCGGCCAAGGCTGACGGCGAGAAGATGGACACGAGCGCGTAGAATACCTCTTATATATCTGTATTAAAAGACCGACATGCAGCAGGATTTGTTATAGCCATGCAGAAGCGCGACACGCTTCACGCATGGCTCGTTATGACTCGACGAAATGCGTTCCACAGGGCTCGGGAGGACGCCCAGGGTCGATGTTCGGCTCCGGGATCCGGAATGTTGTTGTCGGTTGTGCTTTGCCGCCCACGCCACCCCGCACTTGGCATAGTCCACTCACCCATCCATCACCCCTGGCTTGCGGCCATCCCCAGTTGGTCTTCATCGCAAGCTGCGGTCTGTGCCGCAACACTTATAACTCCTCATCTGGCATGCCATAACTTTCTCTCTAGCACCAATCACCGCGGCACCGATCCCAATGACATCGGATCCCCTCCTCGCGCTCGGCGAGCACCCCTTCCTCCTCGTGCTGGATCAGCTCCCACCACACTCATTCTTCACATTGCAACGGGTCAACAGGACATGGAACGCCTTCCTATCTGAGCACGCAGGGCTGTGGGCGGCCGTGCTGCGCCGTGAAGGAGTCGACCTTGACGAGTGGCGACGAGTGCTCGCCGAATCCAAGGAACGGCATCGCATCGCATCTTGGGAACAGCAAAAGCGCGAAGCCCTCCTCTCAGAAGCACTCGCACAGATCGGCTACGACGTCACCGACGAGGACGGGGAGCCTCTCATTCTTGGCCCAGAGTACCATTGCAACGACCCCGGGCCCGAGGCGTTTATGGATACAGAGTTCGACTCCATCGCAGCAGAATACCGAGCCGCCTGTAAGTTGACTAGCTGAGTGTTCGAAGTCGAGGATCGGAAGCTGACACCAGACAAATCGCATGTCACCTTGCAACGCGCTTGGAAGCGGCGATACAACTTTGAGACGCTCGTGAACACGCCCTCCTTCCGACTGCGCCGGATCTACGTCGACGGACCATACTTGTACGCCATCAGCAAAGCGTGGACGGGCCAGTTGCCGCAGGACCGCGAGGACACGGAAGATCTACATGTGTTGGACAAGTACAGCGGCCGACTGCTTCTGACCCTCCCCGGGAACAGGGCACACTCAGCTCACGCTGTGGGCGCCGGGTACGTTTTGACTAGCGAGAATGCGCAAGGTGAGCTCCACAACCTCTAGGGTACAGCTGACAGCAGTGTCCGAGGACGATCACAACGAAGCTGTGCACAGTGCTATGCCCGAGCCGGTTGGTGAAGGGCGTTACTATATTCCGCTACAGACTTTTCCCTAATACTGCAACGCCGAGTAATTCCAGGCACGGTCAGGCACAGCC